TTGAGAGAGTAGGTGGAGCTGTTTCATGAAGCCAGAGAAGAAATTGTTCTGTCCCCTCTCTGGCTCTGTCCAGTTTAAGGTTATTTGCCTCGGGTCTGGTAAGATGTTGAATAAACATAATGTGGTAACAATGCTGGGGGCAGATGGCTAATAGCATACGACGATGATTTACTAGAGCAGTATTGGGAGCCTTCCGACTTGAGGAAAGTCTGCCCAACATTATACATAAGTACATGGCAGAGGTTGAATTTACAGGTTTTGATGGAGAAAAGGGAGGGGAGTAGGTGAGTTGATCCTTGTTTCAAGAAAAGAGAATGAGAGGTAGGCATTCTGGTGCTGTGGGTTAAGCTGCCTCCTGGGATGCCACATCCTGTAGCTGATACCTGGGTTCAAGTCCCATCTCTGCTTTCACTCCAGCTTCCTGCTAATGCATACCCTGGGAGGCAGTGGATGGTGGCCCAAGGACATGGGCCCCTGCCACTCACATGGGAGACCCAGGTGGAATTCTGGGCTCTTGACTTTGGCCTGGCCTAGCCCCACCTGTTGTGGGCATTTGAGGAGTGGACCAGCAGAACTAGGAACTAGGAATTCTACTTAGGTCTTCCACAAGGGTGATGAGGGCCCAAGCACTTGAGCCATCATTTGCTGTCTCCCAGACTGCATTAGCAGGAAGCTAGAATTGGAAGCAGAGGAGCTGGGAGAGACTCAAACTGGCACTTTGATATGGGATGCAGGAGTTCCAAGTGGCATCTTAACTCCCTGAATGAGAACACCCACCTTGAGAGTACCCTCTTAAAAAAAAAAGATTTATTTATTTGAAAGGCAAAGTTACAGAGCGGCAGACATGCAGAGAAAGAGCTTCCATTGGCTCCCCAAACGGGGACTCAAAACAGTGCCCATGTGGGATGCCGATGCTGCAGGCCATAGTTTTAACCCACTGAGCTACAACTCCAGACCCTGTTCCACTTCCAATCCAGCTCCCTGTTAATGTGCCTAGGAAAGCAGCAGAGGATGGCCCAAGTACTTGGGCCCCTGCACCCATGTGGGAGACCTGGAAGAATCTCCTGGCTCCTGGCTCTGGCCTGGCTGAGCCCTGGCTGTTGTGGCCATCTGGGGAGTGAACCAGCAGATGGAAGATTCTCTCTCTCTCTCTCTAAAGAAGAGAGGAGGAGGAAGAAGAAGATGGAGGAGGAGAAGGAGAAGAGGAGCAACAGCTGGGACTTGAGTGGACACTCATATGGGATATCAGTGTCACAGGTGGCCGCTTAACCTGATGTGCCACAATGCCTACCCCATATTTTTTAAGTTTTTGAGGACACGCCACACTGTGTTTCACAGTGGTTGTATTATTTTACATTCCTGCCAACAATGTACAAGGACTTTGATTTTTCTACATCCTTGCCAGCACTTCTTGTCTGTTTTAAAAAATAATTGCCATCTCAGGTGTGAGATTATAGTTCTTTGTGGTTTTGTTTTGTATTCCCCTTACAATTAGTAATGTTGAGCATCTTTTCATATACCAGTGGGCCATTTGTATGTCTTCTTTAGAAAAATGTCTCTTTGCCCATTTTTAATTGGATTTTTATACTAAATTGTAGAAGTTCTTTGTTTACAAGAGTACTTACTTCAAAATGTTTGTGAAAAAATGGAATCAAAAGATGTTTACTTTGGTGCAAAACATTTTCAAATTCCATGTGCAATTCTTCTATAATATGCATTCTGCATGAACTTTTTGAAGATCCCTTGTATGCATAGATGTTTTTAAAAATTTTGCACCAAAATAAACTTATCTTTTTTTTTTTTTTTTTTTTTTTTTTTTTTTTTTTGACAGGCAGAGTGGACAGTGTGAGAGAGAGACAGAGAGAGAAAGGTCTTCCTTTTGCCGTTGGTTCACCCTCCAATGGCCGCCGCTGCAGCCGGCGCACCGCGCTGATCCGATGGCAGGAGCCAGGATCCAGGTGCTTTTCCTGGTCTCCCATGGGGTGCAGGGCCCAAGCACCTGGGCCATCCTCCACTGCACTCCCTGGCCATAGCAGAGAGCTGGCCTGGAAGAGGGGCAACCGGGACAGAATCCGGCGCCCCAACCGGGACTAGAACCCGGTGTGCCGGCGCCGCAAGGCGGAGGATTAGCCTGTTGAGCCACGGCGCCGGCCTATAAACTTATCTTTTAATCCATTTTCCACAAACTTTTGAAGCCCGTTTCTTTTTTTTTTTTTTTTTAAGATTTATTTATTTATTTGAAAGTCAGAGTTATACAGAAGAGAGGAGAGGCAGAGAGAGAGAGAGAGAGAGAGATCTTCCATCCACTGGTTCACTCCCCAATTGGCCTCAACGGCCAGAGCTGCACCGATCTGAAGCCAGGAGCCAGGAGCTTCTTCTGGGTCTCCCACGTGGTGGGTGCAGGGGCCCAAGGACTTGGGCCATCCTCTACTGCTTTCCCAGGCCATAGCAGAGAGCTGGATCAGAAGTGGAGCAGCTGGATCTCGAACCGGTGCCCATATGGGATGCCGGTGCTTCAGGCCAGGGCATTAACCTGCTGCGCCACAGTGCCAGCCCCTCCGTTTGTCTTTTGACTACTCACTTCTGACAGATATATGTCTTGCAAATAGTTTCTCCCATTCTGTAGGTTTCCTTTCACTTTTTTTAAAACATATTTTTAAAGATTTATTTATTTTTAAAAATTTTTTGAAAGAGTTATAGAGAGAGGTAGAGAAGAGAGAGAGAGGTCTTTCATCCGCTAATTCACTCCCTCAAATGGCCGCAACGGCCTGAGCTGAACTGAGCCAATCCAAACCTAGCAGCCAGGAGCTTCTTCTGGGTCTCCATGTGGGTGCATCCTCCGCTGCTTTCCCACGTACACTAGCAGGGAGTTGGATCAGAAATGCGTCTGGGACTGGAACTAGTGCCCATATGGGACGCTGGCACTGCAGGCTGGGGTTTTAACCTCTGTGCCACAGCACCAGCCCTGCCTTCCATTCTTGACAGTTTGCTTTGGAGTGCAAAAGCCTCAAAGTTTGTTGTAGCTCCTCTTGTAAATTTTAGCTTTTGTTGATTGTGTTTCTGGGTTCACATACAAAAATCGTTGCTATAACCAGTGTTATAAAATTTTTCCTTTAATCCAGGAATTTTACAGTTTTAAGTCTTGTGTTCAAGTCTTTGATCCATTTTGAGTTATTTCTTGTTTATAAGAATTCATTTTTATACTTTCATATGAGTATATCCAGTTTCACTAATTCCATTTGTTGAAGAGACAATCCTTTCTCATTGTATATTCTTGGCATTCCTATCTAAGATCTCCATGTGAGTTTATTTCTGCTCTTTCTTTACCCACTACACCACAACACCGACCCCTATATATTTGTTTTCTATTTCATTATATTTTCTCTTATCTACATGATTTCATTCACTCTACTTTCTTTGCATTTATTTTGTTTTTCTAACTGTAGTTTGATTCCAATAGTTCAGATCCCAGTGTTGGTGGCTGTTTACTGTTGGGAAAAATAAGCAGATCAAAAAACGAGGGAAAACACACAACTTCCTGAAAACAAAGCTCACTGATACTAAAACCCGGTAAAGGCAGCTGCTGTGGTTTACGAGTGGTTTGTCCCCCAAAGCTGTGTGTGCTGTAGACGTGGCCCCAGTGTGGAGATGTTAAGAGGTGGCACTCGGTGGGAGGGCCTCAGGTCACTGGGGAGTGGCCCTGGAAGGAATTAAGGTAGTTCTCCTGGTAACTGGGGATAATTCCCTGTGTCGAGAGGGAGCCTGACTCCTGCACTGCTTTCCTTGGCTCCTTGTTTGTTACATGACGTATCATTCTCACACGCACTCCTGCCACTGTGATGTCACCTGCCATGAAGCCTTCACAGAGCTGAGATGATGTGGGTGCCATGCCCATGAACCTGCAGAACTGTAAGCTGAATAAATCTCCTTTCTTTACAGTTTATTATAGTCATGAAAAACAGACTGATGCAGCCATGAAGGGGGGCCTTTTGGAACACAGATCCACCTTCCAAGTCAGCTATGAACACATTCTGCTTCTTGCAGCCACAGGGGGTCGGATCTTATTGATTGGACACCTCTGTGCTGCTCTGTCCTCTCCTTGTACAAAAGTGTTTCTCTAGTCCAGCCCTTCCTTTTTCTTGCATTAATTTTTAGTTTCAGATGTGGGACAATACCGCCTTCGTGACTGATTTTCAAACATGGCAGCTGACACACTCCTGACTCCCAGAGACCACCATGGTCCTCCCAGGGCTAAGTTTTTATGCACTTGTGGGGTGTTCTGTGCTGGCATCCACAGGTGAGTGAGTAGCTTACCTGTATTCTACAGAGATGTTATCTTAATCACACTCCCTTTTACATACATAAGAACAAGATGCACTCAGTAGTAGTAACTCACAAAGGAGCAAAACCCCAGGCAGTGTCATAGGAACAATGATTTGATGGCTCAGAAGAGGGCCTAGAAGGGAAGGGAGAAGAGAGCCTGGAAGAGGCACCACAGGTGGATGCTGACGCCAGCTGTCGAAAGGCTGCTGACGTAGAGAGAGTTCCAGAAGCCTTCCTGAGCCTCCAGTCCTGGGGACAGACCAGGAGGACATGGTGTCTTGGCAGATTCAGAGGCTCTGCTTCTTCCCCATCTCCTCCACTGGTTCAAGCCCTTGCTGCTTGGAGTAGAGTGGAAGAATACAAGTGCCCTAGGGCTCCAGTCTTGGCCAAGTGCCAAGTCTTGTTGCAAAGGATATCTACTCTTCTGGTCACAAACGCCAGAGCGCGAGACATAGGAACCCTTACAGGCTCAGAAATCTGCTGATGTGATTGTGGTCTCTAAGGAGCACAGGTAGGAGTTAAGCACTCTTCGGCCAATCAAAGCACAGGTCACATTGCTGAGCACAGATTTAAATATTTCAATTTAAATATTTCAATCACAACTGGAAATGTTACAAACTGCCATTATTGATATACAATTCTCATGTTGATAATTTCCTTAAAAATTCTCTACCTAGGATCTGATCACATGCCAGATGTCTAACAAACGAGTTCAGGCATCCAAAGACCTACCTGTCAGACACTTCAAGGGGTACAAGATTGTGATTGTGGGGTCAGTCATTGCACTTTCGGTGAGTATTCCTCCTTCAACTTACCTCCATCCACCCACAGAGCTCAAACAAGTTGCTTTCTTATTTCTTTTTTTTTTTTATTAAGACTTATTTGTTTATTTGAAAGTCAGAGTTATAGAGAGAGAGAGAAAGACAGAGAAAGAGATTTTTCCACCCACTAGTTCACTCCCCATATGGCTGGAATGACCAGCACTGGGCCAGGGGAAAACCAGGAGCCTGGAATTCCATCTAGGTCACCCATGTGGGAAGCAGGAGCCCAAGCACTTGGGCCATCTTCTGCTGCCTTCCCAGTGCATTAGCAGGGAGCCAGATGGGAAGCAGAGCAGCTAGGACTCAAAACAGTGTTCATATGGGATGCTGGCATTATACATGGCAGATTAACTTGCTGTACCAAAATGCCAGTCCTACTTTCTTATTTCTTGTTTATTTGAGATGCACAGCGAGGTAGATAGGCAGGTAGATAGCGATCCCATTCACTGGTTTACTCCCCAAATGCTCAGAATGGCCGGGGCTACAGGCCAGAAGCCGGGAATAAAATTCAGATCTCCCACATGAGAGGCAAGAACCCAATCACTTGAGCCATCACCGGCTGCCTCCCAGGATATGCATGAGCAGAGAGCTGGATCAGAAGTGGAGGGGGCCAAACTGGACCCAGCACTCTGATGTGGGGTGTGGACATCTGAAGCAGGGACTTCACTGTTGTACCAGTTGCCCACCCCCAAATTGCTTAATTCTCATGGAGTCTGCTTTGTCTATGTCTTTCTTTTGTTTCCTGTGCTCTCGATGTGACATCCAGGAGGTCACTGGCTAATCCTATAACGTGAGGCTTTGGCTCTAAGAATTTTATAGGAAAGTATTTTGTACTAACTCAACTTTTTCTCTCTCTGCACGTTCTAATCTCTGTCATTTCTCCTGTCTTATTTGTACTTTCCTTCATGACTCACCTCAGGCGTCTCACATCGTCTTCCCTGCTGCCCATCCTCCACCCCCAACCCGGGCAGGGGCTCCTTACCTATCCTACTACTTATTACACTTCCCAGGCCTTTGACTAACTAAGGGCCAAGGGGTGTCCTTTTTCCCTTTAAACACCAGCGTATACAACAAAGTACTCACTTTTTATTGAGACAGAGACCAAATGAGTGCATTTCTTACTTATGTCAATGTCAAGAAACAGAGAAATCTATGTCATTAAAATATCTTGGTCACAGGGTCGTTAAAATATCTTGGTGTTGTGCTGCAACAGGTGAAGCCACTGCTGGCGACACTGACGTTCTTATGAGTGCTATTTGAAATAACAGCTGTTCCTACCTCTGATCCAGCCCCCTGCTAATGTGCCTGGGAAAGCAGTGGAAGATGGCCCAAGTGCGTAGGTGCCTGCCACCCACATGGGAGACTTAGATGGAGTTCTAGCATCCTGGCTTTGGCCTGGCCAGGCCCCAGCCATTTCAGCCATTCGAGGAGTGAATCAGTGGGTAGAAAATATCTCTCTCTCTCTCTGTTACGTGTGTGTGTGTGTGTCCCTCTCTCTCTACAACCCTACCTTTGAAATAAATAAATCTTTTTAAAGAAAAAGTATCTTGCTCACAAACTATGCTAACAGCTCATACAAGCATAAGCCCAACTTCCAAGGACTGAATTAAGTGCCCCTGGGGCAGATTTCAATGACCAGGGTGACGGAAAAAGCTCCTTCTACCTCTTCTGCTTTGTACCAGCTCTTTCTTCCTGATGTGCCTACCACATCTTTTTTCCTGCATATGGCATATGTTGACTTTGTCTTGGGAATTATGCAGGTGGAGAGACAGCTGAGTAGCCCCTGTGTGTAGGCCCCAGTCAGAGCCAGGAGTGTGCATGCATTACCTGATGTCTCTGCTAAAGGGAGGAAAAGCGTGCAGTCAGAGAAAGACACAGGGGAGATCATGCGAGAAACTGCCAGGCCAGCCAGCTGGATTCCAGTCTGTCCCTGGGAGGAATGGCTGGGCATCTGTGGATGTTTCGCGTGAGGCAAGGCCAACTTGTGCTTTCCTGAGACTTGGATTTTTGTTGGGAGCTACAGAAACCTGGAGCCACAGCCCCACCCCTTCCCTAGCTTCTCCTCCTGGGGTTTCCCATCCCTCCAGTCTCCCTCCTTTTACAGGGAATTCCTAGGATCCCTGCGTCTCCGATTCTGTGGGCCATTCCTGATGGAAGGCTTCGGCTCCTTTCTCTGGGTGTGAGCAGATTCCTTGTTCTGAGTGTAGGATGGAAACGGTGGGGGCAAGGTTGGGTAATCAGGAAGGGGAAGAGGGATTTACTCTGGAATTCGAGGTTCAGGCAGAGAAGGATCTGGAAGAGATGGGGAGAGCTGGAGACTGAGGGTTGGCATGTCTAGATCGCCCTCTGGTGGCAGCAGGAGTGTGTGCAGGTGGTGGGGCCAAAGCCAAACCAGGCAGACAGAGGTGTTATTCACGCTTCGTGTAGCAAACCCGCAGACCTGAGATGGTACTGAAGATGAGTGTGGTGATGGCTCAGAGACCGGACTTTGGGTCAGACGCAGCGTGAGAAAGGCGGGACTCTTGCCGGATACCCACTTAGGTGGAGCAGGACCAGGTTTGAAGAATTGAAGGCAGGAAAATGAAGGGACACGCAGCCCACTGACTGGTTCTTCTTTCTCTACTCACAGATCTTGTACTTCAGGGTTTCCTGGCCTGAGAGGAGCATCCCTCGGCCCCCAGTGCCCCACCCAGCGAACAAGTCCAAAAGACCCCTGTCCCAGGGGCTGGCCAATCTGACCCATCTCCTGTACTGGCCTGCGACCCCAGGAGATGGGGGGAACCTTTTGGCCTCCACCAGCCCCAAGACCTCCACCTACTACCTCCAGGGTCCAGTCCAGGCCAGATATGCCCTGGGAACCTACTTGAAGGCCATCCTTGTGGCTAGAGACCACTGGGGCAGGCCCAAGACCTACGGTGGGGACCTGTTCCGGGCACAGCTGCTGGGTCCCACCTTAAACACAGGAGTCCCTGGGGACGTGCAGGATCTAGAGAACGGCACGTACCTGCTGTCCTTCCCCCTGCTCTGGGCTGGAAGGGCGTGGGTGCAGGTGCGGCTGATCCACTCCAGCGAGGCAGTTGGGGTCCTGCGGAGAATATGGAGAGACCATTGGGCCACGGTTGACTTCACAGGCTATTTCCGGGGACCCACGGGCTACGAAGAAACTGTAACTTGCAACGTGAACCCCCTGTTTATTGGGGGGGAAGAATCTACCTGTCGCTACAAAGATGAAGATTCGGGTGAGCTCTGGTTCTGTGCTCAGCCCCGTACCCTACCCTGCAACTCACTGGTAGGACATTCAGCTGGCCATTACTGGAATGTGACCACACTGCACGAAGATGCTCTGATGGCGGGGTAAGGAGCCCAGCGCCATCTGGGGGGCCTGAATCCTGGTTTCTGTGATTGTTCTGCTGGAACTCCTGCCTGTATCACTCGCCTACCCACTCCTGTGGGACACATGTTTGCTGCGCACTTACTCTCTGCCTGGTCTCACACTAACAGCTGAGTCTTATAGACAAGAGCATTGCACCCCTGCCCTGGGTAGGTTTTCAGTGATGAGGCTCATGGCTTTTTAAACATGCAATGGGCCAGTGCCACGGCTCAGTAGGCTAATCCTCCGCCTTGCGGCACTGGCACACCGGGTTCTAGTCCCGGTTGGGGCACCAGATTCTGTCCCGGTTGCCCCTCTTCCAGGCCAGCTCTCTGCTGTGGCCAGGGAGTGCAGTGGAGGATGGCCCAAGTGCTTGGGCCCTGCACCCCATGGGAGACCAGGAGAAGCACCTGGCTCCTGCCTTCGGATTGGCACGGTGCGCCGGCTGCAGCGCACCAGCCGCGGTGGCCATTGGAGGGTGAACGAACGGCAAAGGAAGACCTTTCTCTCTGTCTCTCTCTCACTGTCCATTCTGCCTGTCAAAAAAAAAAAAACAAAAAAAAACAAAAAAAAAAACAAAAAAAAAAACCATGCAGTGATGAGCACTGCTCTGTAGCACAGCGAAGGGTGTCCCGTCTGGCCTGGGATGGGCAGGACAGGGGACAATTTAGCTGAGGCTTCAAGGCGAACCAAGGACTTGTAGGAAGAGTCCCAGTCCTATCCAGCAATCTGAGGGCCTGCGCAAGGAGAGTTCACAAATCAACAGCACACAGCGGACAGGGAGTAGGGAGGATGAGGGTGACCCACATAAGCGAGAAGAGACAGACACTGCAGTGTGGGAGCCGGGAAATGAACGCCGGGAGGCATCCACAGTCTCAGGGAAGCCAGCCTCCCAGGTGTACAGAGAAGGGAGTAAAGATGTGGACACAGAGTGGCTCCATTGAGACCTGATGTCACTGAGGGCCGAGGCAGGGAAGAGGCCAGAAGAGAGCCCAGGGATGAGCGAGGCGGTTTGTTTCTTTGTTTGTTTTTAAAGATGGGAGAGCAGGGCAGCTGGTGTCTAGGGAGGAGGGCTACTGAAGGCAAAGAGGAGGAAGCAAAAATCGGTCCTCAGCAGGTGTCTGGGTGAGGGGCAGAGAAAGGTAGAGGGGGACCTCCTTTGGAGAGGCAGTATGCTCAGGTGAGCGAGCACATGAACATTTACAGAGCAAAGGGAGGAAAACCAATACTTTTTGCATTGGTCAGCAAGGAAGTAAATTTTTCAGTCAGCTGGGAGCTGCTTTGGGATGTGCAGTGGAGGGAAAGCCCAGCATCTCTGGAGCAAGGCTGCCTGGACTGGAATCCCCGCTCCCCCAGTTAGTTTATATCATGTTGATCTCTAAGGCTAAGTTACTTAACCTTCTTATTTATTTATTTGACAGGTAGAGTTATAGACAGAGAGAGAGACAGAGAGAAAGGTCTTCCTTCAGTTGGTTCACCCCCCAAATGGCCGCTATGGCTGGCGCTGCACCAATCTGAAGCCAGCATCCAGGTGCTTCCTCCTGGTCTCCCATGCGGGTGCAGGGGCCCAAGCACTTGGGCCATCCTCCACTGCTTTCCCAGGCCACAGCAGAGAGCTGGACTGGAAGAGGAGCAACCGGGACTAGAACCCAGCATCCATATGGGATGCCAGCGCCGCAGGCAGAGGACTGACCAAGTGAGCCATGGCGCCAGCCCAACCTTCTTTTTAAATGTGATAGTATCCACGTCATAGAGTTGGAGTGAGGAGTAACACATAGGTTAATGCATGCAGAGTGCTTAGAACGAGGACAGCACAGGGCGGGCTCTGCTGGCTTTTTTGCTCTTACTTCCATCTGCTGCTTGTTGAGCTCCCGCCCTATGCTGGTGCTGTCCAAGGTGCTGGATCGAGGTCCAGCAGCTAGGAGAGGAAGGGCAGAAGTGGCCCCATGCATGGACCTAACCCTTTAGCTGACAGCAGACATTGAACAGATAATCAATCACATGTGTGGCCATGTGCAGTGGACAAGAGTTTGCAGTCTCAAGGTCAGCTGTTTTCTTTACATCAACCTTCATCCAACTCTGAGGACCTCCCAGGCAGGGTAGGGCAGGTGGGGAGGGCTCCCCTCAAAGGAACCACCTTGACTGTCAGGAACCCCTCTTTAGTCTTTTGTCCAGCCTGGCCGCTGCACAGTGCCCATTGAGCAAGCCCGTGTGAGGTTCTGGGCCCCACTGAGTGGATATTTCCACCTGGACTCAGAGTCGCTGGGGGTCATTCTGTATCTGCTCCCCGCCACTTCTGTGGGCGCCAGGGCTCTGACACTCTTGGGCGGGCCATGTTTGGGCATCTTTGCAGTTTGCAGCAATATTCTCTTGCAACCTCCCCCTTAAAAGCAAATCCCTCATTCATCTAGGACTTCTGTGCTCTGGCGCTGGGAAGAGAGCAGTGAGTGAACAAGTACGTGAAAACCCCGAAGGAAGGAACAGTCAACAATGCACATAACCATAGTTAAATTATACAGGAGGTTAGAAGGAGACATATGGGAAAGAGTGGGCATCTCCATTTCTCTTTCTGTCGCTCTGCCTTTCAAATAAATAAAAATGAATAAACATTAAAACTTTCAACATGAGTTTTGGAGGGGACACTCAGTCCATAGCACAAGGAACCCAGATCTCTGAACTCCAGCTTCCAGCCCTGGCTGCTCCCACATCGTCTTCCAGGAGCCTGAGGCTGCAACAAGTGTCCTTGACTTTACACCTTCCTCTCCCTCCTCCATGAACCCCCATTTTGCCTGAGCCCAGGATTCTTTTCCTTCATGCACTTCCATTAAGGGCTGTCCTCTCGCCCACTGGTCTCTCCCCAGGAATGTGACGGACAAGGCCCTTCCTCGAGGCATTCCTGCAATCTGGGTGGACAAGGAGGGTGACAAGAGTCTGGGTAAGTGGCACAGGACTTGCAGGAACGGCAGCACAAAGCCCCTGTCCTGGCTCAAACCTCTTCTGCACTCATTGGTTGTTTTTTTTTTTTTTTTTTAAGTTTCATCCCCCCAGCAACCTTGCCACCCTGGGATCCCAGTCCCAAAGCCCTCTGGCTTCTATCACCAAAACATATGGCATTCACTGGCCTGCTCGGGCCACTCCTTCCCCACTGAAGACAGCATCCTGGGCTGCCTGGCCGGCCGCATCATCCACATGATGGGAGACTCCACACTTCGGCAGTGGTGGGAGTATCTGTGTGGCGCTGTGTCCTGTGAGTAGCCATAATGGAAGGAGTAGGACACCTAAGAGAACACAAGGAGAGCCAGGGCCATGAGGAGGCAGACAGTCACATCCATGGGGCAGAATGACTGGACTCCAGAAGGAGGTGGGAGGACACCACACCTGGGTTGGGGAAGGGCTGGGAAAGAGGTGCCTGGGTGAAGCATTAAGGAACTCTTACAGGAGAGCAGGTGTGTGAATAACCATGATTGTAACTGAAGATTTGCTGGGGGAACAGAATCAGAATTTGAAAACTGTAGAAGAAATAAAAACGGAAGAGAGGGGCCGGCATTGCAGCACAGAGGTTAAGCTGCCACCTTCAATGCTGGTATCCCATATGGGCATTGGCTGGAAGACTCCAGACGGATGCTCCACTTTCTATCCAGGTCCCTGCTAATGCACTTGGGAAAGCAACAAACTGCCCAAGAATTTGGGCCCCTGCGACCCACGGGGAAGACCCAGATGGAGTTCCAGACTCCAGGCTTTGGGGTTCAGCCTAACCTAGCCCTGGCCATTGCAGCCATTTGGGGAGTGAATCAGTGGATGAAAGATCCTTTTCTCTCTCTGTTTGTCTCTCTCTCTCTAACTCTGCCTTTTAAATATATGTTATTTTTTTATTTTTATTTTTTGACAGGCAGAGTGGACAGTGAGAGAGAGAGACAGAGAGAAAGGTCTTCCTTTGCCGTTGGTTCACCCTCCAATGGCCATCACGGCCGGTGCGCTGCGGCTGGCGCACCGCACTGATCCAAAGCCAGGAACCAGGTGCTTATCCTGGTCTCCCATGGGGTGCAGGGCCCAAGGACTTGGGCCATCCTCCACTGCACTTCCCTGGCCACAGCAGAGAGCTGGCCTGGAAGGGGGGCAACCGGGACAGAATCCGGCGCCCCAACCGGGACTAGAACCCAGTGTGCCGGCACTGCAAGGCGGAGGATTAGCCTAGTGAGCCGCGGCGCTGGCCTCAAACATATATTTTAAAAAAACTGTAGACACCAGGCTTAGGCGGTTCCTCTTCAGACAAAAGGGAGACCTGAATTTTGTTGTTGTTATCCTTGGTTTTTTAGAAGTTTTTTAAAGTCTATGTTATTTTACTTAAAAGAAAAGATATGACTTCCATCCACTGGTTCATTTCCCCCAAACATTTAGTCAGGAACATCCCCTACAACATTTAAAGTCAGGAACCAGGCATTCCATCTGGGTTTCCAGTCATCAGTTGATGAACATCTAGGTTGATTCCATATCTTAGCTATTATGAATTGAGTTGGGGGTACAGGTAACTTTCATATGCTGATTTCCTTTCCCTTGGGTGAACCCCCAGGAGTAGGATGGCTGGGTCATATTGTATATCTATTTTCAGCTTTCTGAGGTATCTCCATACTGTCTTCCACAATGGCTGTACTAGTTTATATTCCCACCAACAGTGGTTAAGGGTACCTTTTCCCCAGTATCCTTGTCAGTATTTATTGTTTGTTGATTTCTTTATGATAGTCATTCCAACTGGGGTAAGGTGAAACCTTGTGGTTTTGATTTGCATTTCCCTGATAGCTAGTGATCCTGAGCATTTTTTCATGTGTCTGTTGGCCATCTGAATATCCTCTTTTGAAAAATGCCTGTTCTAGTCCTATGCCCATTTCTTAACTGGATTGTCCATTTTGTTGTTGTTGAGTTTCTTGAGCTCTTTATAGATTCTGAGCAATAATCCTTTATCATCTTCATAGTTTGCAAATATTTTCTCACATTCTATCAGTTGCCTCTTCACTTTGCTGAATGTTTCTCTTGCAGTGCAGAGCTTCTCAGCTTGATGTAATTCTATTAGTCTGTTTTGGCTTTGATCGCCTATGCTTCTGGGGTCTATTCCAAGAAGTCTTTGCCTATGCCAATGTCTTGTAGACTTTCCCAAATTTTCTCCTCTAATAATTTGATGGTATCAGGCCATAGACTTATACCATTGATCCATTTTGATTTTGGCCTGGAATCCCTGCTCTACCAGTTAGCTTATGTCATTTCTGATCTCTAAAGCTAAATTACTTAACCTTCTTTTTAAATGTGAATAACAGAGTATCTACATCATAGAGTTGGAGTGAGGAGTAACACATAGCATGTGAAATGCTCAAGATGAGGACAGTAGAGAGCGGGCTCTGCTGCTGTTGAGCTCCTGCCCTATGCTGGTGCTGTCCAAGGTGCTGGATCGAGGTCCAGCAGCTAGGAGAGGAAGGGCAGAAGTGGCCCCATGCATGGACCTAACCCTTTAGCTGACAGCAGACATTGAACAGATAATCAATCACATGTGTGGCCATGTGCAGTGGACAAGAGTTTGCAGTCTCAAGGTCAGCTGTTTTCTTTACATCAACCTTCATCCAACTCTGAGGACCTCCCAGGCAGGGTAGGGCAGGTGGGGAGGGCTCCCCTCAAAGGAATCACCTTGACTGTCAGGAACCCTTCTTTAGTCTTTTGTCCAGCCTGGCCGCTGCACAGTGCCCATTGAGCAAGCCCGTGTGAGGTTTTGGTACAAGGTAGAGGTCATGTTTCATACTCTTGCATGTGGAGATCCAATTGTCCTAGCACCATTTGTTGAAGAGACTGTCCTTTCTCCAGGGATTGATTTTAGCTCCTTTGTCAAAGATTAGTTGGTTGTAGATGTGTGGATTGGTTTCTGGGGTTTCTATTCTGTTCCGCTGGTCTATATGTCTATTTTTGTGCCAGTACCAGGCTGTTTTGATTATAACTCCCCTGTATACTAGGTCCTGAAATCTGGTATTGTGATGCCTCTGGCTTTGTTTTTGTTGTGTAAGATTGTTTTAGCTATTCGAGGTCTCTTGTGTTTCCACATGAATTTTAGCTCAGCCCTTCATACTGTGTTAAAAGGGAAATGTGTGGATGAGGCATTTGAGGAGCTGGCACTGGGGATGAAATATGATGTGAGAGCTTCAGACAGAGTTTTGGTATTGATTTCCTTGGGAATGAAAGTTAAAACGGGTCACAGTATCACGCAATCTGACTCTCATCTGTGTCTTTACCTTTTGTGCATCAGGATTTGAAATAAATTCCACAATATAACAAAGCATGCATTTAGGAATACGGTTTATTAGGGAAGGGGGTACCATGAGAGCCAAGGATGAACACAAAAGAGCACAAGCGCCCAACCCCTTCATCTGCTGGTCCTCCCATCACCCCCAAGAGAGGTGTACGGAGCCCGTGAGAGAGGGTTTCAGTTCTCATGGAGGGGAAACCCCCACCCACACCACTAGTCTCCCTTCTTACCCACAAGCTGAAATAGCCTCCTTGGGGTTTTGGGCACAAAACAGCTGGAGGTGGGCTGCTGCTTGTTTACAGAAGTTGTCTGAAAACACCAGCTGCCCCAGCTGGAAACCTGGCACCTGTGGGGCTGTCCACCCCCCTGCTTGAAGGATGGAAGCTTCCAGCCTCCCACGATTAGCCTGGGTGCAGCTCTCCCTCCAGGACAGGGGTGGGGAAGCTTTTCTCTGCCAAGGGCCATTGGGTATTTATAACGTCATTCACAGGCCATGCAAAATTATCCACTTAAAAATTGGCCTGCTGCAGCTTATTGAATTTCTAGTCCTGCCAGAAGTTGCCTTGATTGGGCCACAGTGATTTTGCAGGTCCTGTTTGGCCCATGGGCTGGACGTTCCTGAGTCGTTTCATGCAGGTGAATCAAGCTTATGTCAGGGCACATAACTGAGAAAATAGACTGGATCTCAGGTGACAGTGGCCTCCTAGACTGGCAACCATGGCACAAGGACATAAATTGGACAACCCTGAGTCTCCAGTTTGGGGTAAGCCTTCATCCAGGGTAGCTGAAGGAAGTAATGGCTGAATCCACATTGGCGATCTCAGTGAGGAGGCTGTAGAGGGAGACGACTCAGTAGGGGAGAGGGGTTAAGGAAAAGCACTGACAGCCTGCTCCAGGGTCCAGGGAGGGTGAGAACTGAGACCACACATTCAGATTTGGCAACTAAGAGGTCACCGTGAGGCCAGCGCTGTGGTGCAGTGGGTTAACACCCTTACAGTGCCAGCATCCAATATGGGCTCCAGTTCAAGTCCCAGCTGCTCTCCTTCCAATCCAGCTCCCTGCTGATGCAGTGGAGGATGGCCCAAGTCCTTGGGCCCCTGCACCCACGTAGAAGACTGTTGCAGTTGATTTCTCAACAATGTTGCAGTGGACTGTTTCTGAGAGGAGGAGCGTGGTGGGGGCAAGAGGCACGGATTCACCACACAGACCCCAGGAGTTGGGTGAAAGTGGGCTTGAGGCAAGCAGCCCACAGACTCGTTTATTTCAGTTAGTACAACAGCTTATATAGCCGAGACCATCCAATCCAGTCAAGGGGCGGTCTATGCCCCAACCAATCACAGCCTGTTGCCAGGCAGTTTCCCAAGCCATCCAATCACAGCCTGTTGCCAGGCAGGCTCCATTTGCCATGTGGGTTTCAAAGCCATCCAATCACAGCCTGTTGCCAGGCAGGCTCCATTGCCAGGTGGGTTTCAAAGCCATTCCTGAGTAACTGATGCTAGCTTGCCAGCGGCCATCTTGGCATGGCCTTCTCATTCCACCACAGGAGACCCAGAAGAAGCTCCTGGATCCTGGCTTCGGATCGCCTCAGTTCCAGCCATTGCAGCCATTCAGGGAGTGAACAAGAGGATGGAAGACCTTCCCCACACCCCCATCTCTCTCTCTCTCTGTAACTCTCTCAAATAAATAAATTTTTTTAAAGTCACTGGCAATATCATAGATTAGGGACAGCAAAATCGGGAATGTATAGGATACTTGTGTGGTAAGGGGAAAAGGATGCTAGATCCTTTGTATTTTTTATAAGAGATTTTAAAAAAATATTTATTTTACTTGAAAGTCACAGTTACACAGAGAGGAGAGGGAGAGAGGGAGAGAGGGAGAGAGGGAAAGAGAGAGAGAGAGAGAGAGAGAGAGAGAGAGAGAGAGAGAGGGGTCTTCCATCCGCTGGTTCACTCCCCAGATGGCTGCAATGGCCAGAGCTGCGCCAATTCAAAGTCAGGAGCCAGGAGCTTCTTCCAGGTCTCACACGTGGGAGCAGGGTCCCAAGGACTTGGGCCATCTTCTACTTTCCCAGGCCATAGCAGAGAGCTGTATTGGAAGTGGAGCAGCCGGGTCTTGAACCGGCACCCATCTGGGATACTGGCACCGCCAGTGGCAGCTTTACTCACTATGCCACAGCCACAGCGCAGGCCCCCAGATCCTTTCTATTTTCAAATGAGCAAAGTACAGCCCTTTATTAACCCCTTATCCCTCTCTCTCATCCTCCCGACAGCCCTCAAGCCCGTGGATCTGCACGTCACCTATCAGGTGGGGCCCCTTATGGCCGTGGACACCACCCGGGGCATCGTGCTGCACTGGCGGGCCCACAGCTGGCCCCTGCGCTCCCTCCGCACACCAGTGGCCTCCCTGCACTCTGTGGCCCGCGAGCTGGGGGGCCTGGCAGGGGGTCCCCACACCGTGGTGGTGCTGGGTCTGGGAGCTCACTTCACCACCTTCCCTCCGTCCATCTTCATGCGACGACTGGCAGGCATCCGGGCAGCTGTGACGGCCCTGCTGGCCCGGGAGCCCCGCACGCTTGTGGTCATCAAACTGGCCAACACCGGCTACAAGTCCGTGTACGGCAGCGACTGGCTCACCCTGCAGGTGAACCGGCTGCTCCGAGCTGCCTTTGCTGGCCTCCGGGTGGCCTTTGTGGATGCCTGGGAAATGACCTCCAGCCTGGCCCTGCCGGACAGCATCCACCCAGGGAGACTCATTGTGCGCAATGAGGTGGACTTGCTCCTCTCCTTCATCTGCCCCAGCTGAGCGCTTCTGAGGGTTCCGCTGCTGTGCTGACCGAGGGCCTAAGGCCTAGGACACAACTGTGAAGAGACTCACAGCCCTAACAGGACATGAGAAAAGGACAGGTGCCACAGTACAGTCTCCCTCCTAATCTTACCCCTCCTCCACTCAAAACCAAAGGGTTTTTTTTTTTTTTTTTTTTTTTTTTGTGACAGAGTTAGACAGTAAGAGACAGAGAGAAAGGTCTTCCTTCCGTTGGCTCACCCCCCCCAAAAGGCCACAACAGGCAGAGCTACACTGATCTGAAGCCAGGAGCCTGGTGCTTCCTCCTGGTCTCCCATGCAAAGAAGTGCAGGGCCCAAGCACCTGGGCCATCCTCCACTGCCATTCCAGGCCACAGCAGAGAGCTGGACTGAAAGAGGAGCAACCGGAACTAGAACCTGGCGCCCATATGGGATGCCGGCACTGCAGGTGGAGGATTAACCAAATGAACCATGGTGCCGGCCCCTAAAGTGCCTATTTTAAAACAAACGAGACAGTGCCATCACAGCTTGCTCACAAGCCAACAGCTTCCATGGTATTTAGTGTGAAGTCCAAGTCTCTTACGTCAACCGGGACCTGCACGCAGCACTGCCTAATTCTGTGGCCTGTTTACCTGCATGCTTCCTGGGACCTTTGCAGACCAACCCTACTGGATTTCTCAACACTAAAGATGTCTCAGGGCCTTGCTCCTGCTATTCCTGTGCCTAGAATCCCTTCTCCCAGATCCTCGAAAGGCTGACTGGCTTCCCATTCAGTTTTCTGACCAAATTTCACCTCCTCAAAGAAGCTTTTTCTGACCACCTCCCACTCCATCTGCTATCCCTTCCTCATCTTTACCGGATAGTTGGTTTGCTATTATTGATACGTGTACTTGTCTGTGATGAGCCGGCTCACTGTTTTAGGCCATGATCTAGGACAGTGCCTGAGGTATTGCAGGTGTTAAATTCCCACAAACAAGCGAAAGAATTACAGTCAAGCAAGTCAGTGGGGGGGGGGGGTCACCTCTGAGCCCTGCCAACCAATGAGAAACAGACAATCGGCCAACGTGGCCCCCAGCTGCAGCTGCCAAAGATAGCTATTAAGGCTTCACATTTACATGAGGACAAAAGGATTTCCAAAGCAGTTTCTACTTTTATTTTGGAGGACCCTCGAAAGAACCCCCAGGCACTGAGGCACCTGGAGCGGAGCCAGTCTTTGGTCTTAGTCTGGCTGCAGACACGGCAAGTCTGACTGAAGCACCTGTCTCCCTGGGAGTCCTGGCCGGCTCTCCTGTGAGTCCTGGGCACCATTCCGCCCTGGAGGGGATTCCTTGATGAGTCCAGTCCCTCCTGGGGCTCGTCCAGCCTCTTTGCTCCGACTCTGGCTGGCCGGCTCGCCTGTGTGTCCTGGGCACCATTCCGCCCTGGAGGGGATTCCTTGATGAGTCCAGTCCCTCCTGGGGCTCGTCCAGCCTCTTTGCTCCGACTCTGGCTGGCCGGCTCTCCTGTGTCCTGGGCACCATTCTGCCCTGAAGGGGATTCCTTGATGAGTCCAGTCCCTCCTGGGGCTCGTCCAGCCTCTTTGCTCCGACTCTGGCTGGCCGGCTCTCCTGTGTCCTGGGCACCATTCTGCCCTGAAGGGGATTCCTTGATGAGTCCAGTCCCTCCTGGGGCTCGTCCAGCCTCTTTGCTCCGACTCTGGCTGGCCGGCTCGCCTGTGTGTCCTGGGCACCATTCCGCCCTGGAGGGGATTCCTTGATGAGTCCAGTCCCTCCTGGGGCTCATCAGCGGCGACCACCGGCTCCTGCTGGCTGCTCCCCCTCACCCTTCGTGGGCGAAGTTTCCCTGACCACGCGGAAGGGGGCTCCGTGACCAGGCACGACCACGTCGGCTGTGACTAGGACCCTCCTTCGGCTCCGCTCCTGGGCCACCGGATCTTCGCTCAGCGCCTGCCATGAGCCCTCATCCCCACTGCGCTCAAACACATCGCCCGCCACCACCACGGTGCCCAGGGCTGTGCCGGCCACCACTACGCTCACGTCCCGCTGTCCCCCGTGGCCCGGCGTGGCCCACACCTCGAGCCCGGGCCCCAGCTGCAGGGGACGCCCCTCACCCAGCCCGTGGGGAAGGTAGAGGCCCCCGGGGAGGCAGAAGTCGTGCGACACCAGCAGAGCCGCCCCCGGGAACAGCCCCAGGTTCCCGATATGATCCGAGTGCCCGTGGGTCCCCACCACCAGGGTCACATCTCCCGGGCCCACGCCCTGCCCGGCCAGGGCCCCCAGCAGCGCCTCTCGAGTCCAAGGACCCCCGGTGTCCACGAGGATGGGGCCGCGAGCCGCCTCCTCCAGGGCGGTGTTGGCGCCTCCGCGCTCGGGCAGCGGCTGCCGGCGGCTGAAGGGCGGACCCCAGGCCTGGGGCAGAATAAGGGTCACGGAGCCGTCCGCCCGCACGGCGGCGTCGACCCCTCGGGGCTCCGCGTAGCCCTGCAGCAGCGCCACCACGGAGTAGGGGTCGCCGGGGATCCGCAGAGGGGGCGCCCCGCTCAGCGGCTCGGTCCGCACTAGAGCGCTCATAGCGCCGGAGGGGCGGGCTGAGAACGGAAGTGGGGCCGTGCGACGCTGCCCAGCCCTTGGGGGTGTCCACACACACAAGTCCGCCACGACCGAAGCGGCCCCTTCCCTCTCAGTTCTTGGCCACCCCTCACTCTAAAAGTGGTATCTCCCTCAACCCCCTCCCCTCAGCCGAAGACGGTACGGCCCGGCCCTTCCACGTGGACTTGCCCTTCCCTTGGCGTCTTCGGGCCCGTCCCCTCTCGTCTCCTCACCTTTCACCCTCCGAAGGACGTCCCTTTTCCATTCCCTCAGTCTAACCCTGACGGCTTTCTACCTTGGACATAGTTGTATCGCCTCTCTTGGGTGTTGCTTCACTCGGACAAAGCAGAAATCGGAGAAGCGCGTAGGATGTTTGTCCTCTGTGAGCTCCCGTAAGCCCAAGTATGGCGGCCGAAGAGGCGCCACGTACGTAACTTCCGGCGCGTTCGCACCGTGCACCGACGGAGGCATTCTCATTCCCCGACCCTGGAGCGCCCCCCTGAGGCCGCAAGGTGCAAAGCCACATCAGCTTAAGACTAACGACCGAAGGGGCGCTGTGTGCACTGCCATCGGTTGAAACTGTGGGCCCAGCTGATATTTAAAAAAAGTTTAATAGCGGTATATAAAATTTGGCACCTGTGAAATTCTGAGGTGGGCCCTCGGAGAAAATAATACAAAGATAGAGTATGTGTCCCCTTTAACTTATCAGCACCGCCTCACCCCCCAACCCTGCTATTGTCCTGTTCGTGTGCAGGCAGTGTATGTGGGCCGTTGAGAATTAGTGTTCTGGCCTCTCCCTCTAAAAAGTGAAAAATCGACGCCCCCACTCCCCAACGACAAAGAGACTTTCCCAAGGCCCACAGCTCCAGTGCCGCTGCCAACCCCTGGGTGACGGTGGGGAGCCGTCAATAGCATCGCCGTGCACCTGCCAATTAAGGGGCTGGACGGCAGGCAGAGGGCTCATCTACGGGGACAGGGCTTTCACCCGTTGCTCCCACCTTCTCCTCACACCCTGTCGGATCACCCTGAGATCGGATGGGAGAGAACGGCTACAAGCTTTGGGGTGCGGTCAAACACACCCCCCCTTAAAGCTGGGATGGGGAGAGCTCAGACTTCAGGGGTCAGAGATCCTCCGGGTCATGCGTGGGGTTGACTGCTGCCTTGGTCATCTCTGCCTCCGCCTCTGCCTCCTCCTCGCCTTCCACCTTCTCCTGCTCATCTGTGATCTCCTTTCCAGTCCAAGTTTCCTGTAGACATGCTAGAGTGGGTGAGAGAGAACGGCTTAGACGTTGGCTCCGGGGATAGGGGAAGCTGTGGCCAGGCAGGGGAGGAGTCCAACCCTGGAACTGACCAGTTTCGGTAGCTGGGAGCACATGACCTTCGCAGAGGAAACGCTGCAGGGGCTGGTCCTGGTGGTGGAAGTACCAGTCTCCCACGACGTCTTCAAACTCCTCCAGCATCGTCTCGCACTGGTCAGATGGAAAGGCCAGAAGCGTATCAGCTCTGCTGGGCTTTGGACGCCTACCTCTCCACGCTCCACTCCCTGTCTCCCCTGCTCCACCTGACTGACCTGGAGAGCAGGTGGCCAGGAGGTTAAGCTTGGCTTACTAGATGTGCGATCCTCACTCATGCAACAAACAGGTACTGGCCCCTGCTCTGCCAGGTGAGTCAGTAAGCTCTGAATCTCAGCTCCCTGCCTTGCAAATGGAGAACGGTAACAGTAAACATCACAGCAGGCTGTTGGAGGAGTGAAACTAAGGCAGCACTTGGAAAATCCATAGTCCAAAATCTGGGTGCCCGGTCAGTGGTGGTGCATATTATTATTGTCTGTCATTACTTCTCGACATGCTGCTGGACCCCCTCTCACCCACAGCACAGCCCTCACTGGGCCCCCTTCTCCATGCTCACCAGCGGCCACCCCCTGCAGGGAAACCCGAGGCCCTAGCTCCCCTCCCAGGCTCCCTTCTCGCCAGCCTGGACGGCGTGGTGGTACCTTAGCCTACCTGCTTCTTGAGGAATGTGACCTCCACGCTGGGCTCATCCCACAGCTCCAAAGGGATCCCCAGGTCCACCTTCACCCCCTTCTGCACTAGGCCTTTCAGTGTGGCCATGGTCTGACTCTGACCCTGAGAGATGGAGAGATTGGGATTAGCCTGGCCCACGGATTCCTTCCCCTTTCCACTCTATCAGCTTTGTCAACTGCCAGGGACTCATGAGTTCCACGAGGGTGAGATGAGGGAGACTGTTCAGGACGGGGCACCCAGAGGCGAGAGATTGGGCAGGTATCTCTTGAGGACTTCAGGGGATATAGGTCTTTGCTCCGGAGAAGCAGGGCCTTGCCCTGGGGAAGGGTCTGACCTTGGCATATCTCAGCGAGCCCTTGCGCTCAGCATGAACACTGTAATCCAGGATCCGCTCACATAAATTCTCCAAAGCCTCTTCCAGCCTCGTCTCTCTGTGGGCAAAGGGGAAACAAAGACTCCCTGGGTGCTGTGGGAATTCCCGGGGCTCCTTTGGGGGTTGGCAGGTGGAGGAGCAGCAGGCAGGACTCACGAAACGCTGTAAGGCACGTGTCTCTTCCTCTTGCCTGTGTCCAGCACCTGCCCCAGTTCCAGCACCTCTCGAGATCGACCAGTACGACTCAGCTCCTCCTGTAACTCCATGCTCAGCAGCTTACACACTGGGGAGGAAGAGAGAGACCTAAGCGGATGTGAACGACAAACACATCACGGTTCATTGCAGGACGTGCACGTGTGGACTCTCGGGTCAGCCTGAGTTGGCCAAGCGCCACTCTTCCTGTGCCATAGTTTCTCCACCTTTAAGATGGAGATAATAGTATATCTTTCACAGGAGTGGGAAGAGGATTAGACGAATTAATACGGAAAGTCTCTAGAATAATGCCAGACACACAGCAAGCGCAGGATTGTTTGCTGTTGTTAGCAGTTATTTACTGAGCTCCTGCTGTATGTGCACTAACAATATAGAGAACAAGAAGACCCAGAATCTCTATCTATGGGACACGGCCAGTGTGGTTGGGGACATAGAAACAGATGATGACCCCACACTAGGAGCAAGACTAAGAGACTCGGCCGGTGCCGCGGCTCAATAGGCTAATCCTCCATCTAGCGGCGCCAGCACACCGGGTTCTAGTCCCAGTCGGGGCGCCGGATTCTGTCCCGGTTGCCCCCCTTCCAGGCCAGCTCTCTGCTATGGCCTGGGAGTGCAGTGGAGGATGGCCCAAGTGCCTGGGCCTTGCACCCCATGGGAGACCAGGATAAGCACCTGGCTCCTGCCTTTGGATCAGCGCAGTGCGCCGGCGGCAGTGCGCTGGCTGCGGCGGCCATTGGAGGGTGAACCAACGGCAAAAGGAAGACCTTTCTCTCTGTCTCTCTCTCTCACTGTCCACTGTGCCTGTCAAAAAAAAAAAAAAAAAAAAAGACTAAGAGACTCAATCTGATTAGCAGACGCAAACCCCATTCAGTGGTCACTCACTTCCTACCAGCCTTCAGTTTCCCTAAGGGTGAACATCACATCTGCTTCCCTGCTGTCCTTCCAGCACCTGGTATGTGACTTGCTGCAGTGACAAGCAAATTAAACAGGCACGAGTAACAGAAGCGCCGGGCGCCATGCTAGGACCTGAGCTACACAGGGCCTCCCGCGTCCTGCAGGGGCTAAGAACCTGGCAGAGGAGACAGGTAAGGGAGCTCCTCAACACAGAAGGCAGGAAGGGAGCATTCTGGTGCGGCGTGGGCACAGCTGCTGCTTGCAGGGCCCCCATGTGACATCGGAGTGGAGTCCTGCCTGCTCCCCTTCAGACCCAGCTTCTTGCTAAAGGGAAGGGAGTAGAAGGGGTCCCTGCTGCCGCACGGGAGATCAGGATGGGGTTTCTGGCTCCTGGCTTCAGCCTGGTACAGCCCTGGCATGTGGGGAGGGAACCATCAAATGGAAGATATCTCTCTCCTTCCCCTCTCTCCCCAGTCACTCTGCTTTTCAAATAAGTACATAAATCTTTAAAGAGAGAGAGAGAGAGAGAGAGAGAAGGAAGGGAGGCCAGTGCTGTGACACAGCAGGTAAAACCCCCCTGCCTGCAATGCCAGTGTCCCATACGGGCACCGGTTCAAATCCTGGCTGCTCCAGCTCCCTGATACTGGCATGGGAAAAGCAATGGAAAATGGCCCAGGTGCCTGGGCTCCTGCCACCCATGTGGAAGACCTGGAAGAAGCTCCTGGCTCCTGCCTTCAGCCTGGCCCAGCTCCAGTGGTTGCAGCCATCTAGGGGATAAACCAGAGGATGGAAGATCTCTCTCTCTCTCTGTGTGTAACTTTTTTATATAAATAAATCTTTTCTAAAAAATTAGAATACAGAAGGAGATGGTCATTGCAGACAAAGGGAAAAGCACTAAAGACACAGCTATGAGAGGGCAAGGCACTCACAGTGACCAGTGAGAGGTTCCGTGTGACCAAAGCAGGGGCACTTGGGGCATGGGATGGGGTATGAAAATGAAAGAAAGTTTGGGACCATGCAACAAAGAGATTTATTTGCTTTGCCATAAAATGTTGGCTGTGGGAGTTGGCTTTGTGGTGCAACGGGATAAGTAAGCCACAACCTACAACACCATAATCCCTATGGTGGGTGCCTAGCCAGCTCCTTGCTGATGGCCTGGGAGAGCAGCGGAAGATGGACCAAGTCCCTGGGCCTCTGCACCCACGTGGGAGACCTGGAAGAAGCTCCTGGCTCCTGCCTTTGGCCTAGCCCAGTCCCAGTCATTGTGGTCATTTGGGGAGTGAGTCAGTGGGTGGAAGATCTCTGTCTTGCCGTCTCTCTCTGTAATTCTTTCAAATAAATAAATCTTAAAAAAAATAACGTGGGCTGTATTCTGATCATAGTAGCAGGCCTGCAGGGATGCTAAATAAGAACTGACCCAGTTAGGTCTGTGTTGGAAAGATTGACAGGTGTGGGGAGAAAGCTGGGGCCACAGTGTGAAAGGTGCCAAGAGATCAGCACCCAGTCATGAGGAACACGGATACTGAAACGCGGTGGTGGTGAGGCATAGAGAAAAAAGTCCCGGGAAGACATTAAAGTCAGGAAGGCGGCAAGCTACGAAATCATGACACTCCAGCACCTGGCTCCAAAATGCCCCCTCGCACCTGGGCCCCACACGCATGCAGCCACGGAAGATGCTGCTTGCTGTGAAACCCACCCAGGGCACACCCTCTCTGATGGACAGCCTCTCCTACTTACGTGGCCGCCGCCTCTGTTTATGGGCATCAGGAGCTGCGTTGCTCACCCTCCAACACCCTCAGTGGGCCTATAATTTGGGCGCGTCTCCGCCAGGGTGGGGCAGAGGATGCGTACCAAGGAGGAGCCCGACACCCGGCCCCTGCAGGCTCTCCAGGTTTAAGTCTGATGGGTGACACGGAGGAAACACACCGAAGATGCTCTATGGTAGAGTCGGCGGCCCATGGCGGACAGCATCTGAACTACAATTCCCACAATCCCCTGGGGCCCCGCCAGGGAGAAAAAAGCGGGTTTGCTCCGGACGCCTCCTGGGAATTGTAGTGCCACAGCTTTGAGACGGCACTGTGCGTTCCCCCCTTGACCCCATCCACGCTCCATCAGAATCTCTCCTTCGAGGAGGTCGAGCGGCCCCACCCGTCACAGGACGTGTGGTGTGGCCGAGACGAAGGGGATGGGGCAGGGCGATGCGGACAAGGTCCACTCCCTCTAGATACCTTCGCATTTGCTGGGCAAGCGTTCTGTGTCCTCGTCCTCCTCCTTCGGCGTCCCAGCCCAAACCCCGCACACGACCACAATGAAAAGCAACATTCCCAACCGCACAGGTCCCATGACAACGCGCCGTCCACAAACAACCACCACTTGCTTCCAAACCAACTTCGGAGAGGCGGCGGCGGGCCCTTTAAATTCGGAGGCGGTAGGCGGCACCCTTAAAAAAAAAAAAAAAATCCAGCCTGGCACGGTCGGCGCGTGCGCAAGACCCGCCCACAAGGGGGCAGAGCCTCGCTGCTCTGGGCTTCCCCGCCCATGTTTTGTGGCGCCTCCTGAAGGTCCTGACCGCCGGGTAATGAAAGAATAAATTGAAGTAATGAGAACAACAGGGCGTTGTTCTGAAACGTAAATGTATAAAGAAGCTTTTAAAATATAGTCTCAGGCTGCGATCCTACAGGACTTATTCTGTCTCGGCAAAGGGGCAGTGACTCGCTCGTCTTCTCTGCCAGGACCCGCTCAGGGGGAGGGGGCGGGGCCAAGATGGCGCCGAGCGCCGGGTGAGCGGCGCTGGGGCTGCGGTGAGAGGCTTTTTCTGCCCCGGGCGCTTCCGTGGCCGGGGTGGGTACGACTGGTACCCGGAAGGAGGTCCTTTGAAGGCCCCCTGTGGGGACTGGACTTTTGGCTGTGTGTCGGTGTTCGTGGGGGTCCCGCGTGTGTGCTTGCCTTGGACGGATCCTGGGGGAGATGGGGTGGGCTCTCTGAGCCGCCCTTCCGTGTTGCCTGAGGATCTCCGACCCGCTTCTCCGCTGGGGAAGACGACTTCCCAGCTCTAGCTCGAGTTGACCTCCTCCGAGAAGCCTTCCTGCCGCCGCCGCCGCCGCCCCCGCCGCCCCGAGGAGCTCCTGCGGCTGTAGCGTGTCTTATGAGCCTTTACTGGCAGAGGGCACTGGTACTGGAGAACTAGTCGGAGTTCGCCCGGCGCCAGGCACGGAGTATGTGTTGAATAATTGTGTTCCCTTCAGATGTGAAAGCGGGGGTGAAGACCTAGGACTGCTTCAGAAGAACCAGGTCCTCCTGCCTCCATTCCCCCACCCCGCCCCCGGCCTGTCTCCACCGAGTCCTGAACACCCCTGATGTTCCTTTTCCTAACGCCAAGCTCCGTGCGTGCCGCTCTCCTTCGGAGCCTGTGGCTTATTCGTCTTGGCACTAGTGATATTGAAAACTTACTGGGCATCGACACCTCTCAGCCTTACAGTCCATTCATTTACTCAACAACTATTTATTACTTCCGGTGTCACGGGCACCAGCCTGGGTTTCAGGAATACATCAGTGAGCAAAACAGAGATCCCTGTCTCCATGGTGGGCGATTCGGGCACTGATAATAAGAATGCCAAAAATAAGAAGTGGTGCGGCGTATTGATTAAATGCTCTGGGACAGAGCAAAATGCAATGGAATGAGGGCAGACGAATAGGGTGGTCAGCATAGGTAGCAATAAAGCTGGCCCCCACCAGAGGAGAAAAGGAACGAGTGGACTCCTGAGCATGAAGCTGTAGAGGGACTTTATGAGGAGAGACTCCTAGACAGAGGGAGAGAGCCGAGGCCGTAGAGCAAGAGCACGCCTCGCAGGTGGTTGTGGCAAGGTGGAAGAAGGAACAGGCCAGAGGTGGAATGGGAGAGGGAAGACCTTGAAGGGTCGGTAGACAAGGAGCCATTACAGGGAACTGTGGTTTGAATACGACTTTTCCACCAGCTCTAATCCCCAGAGTCACGCTAATGGTGTTAAGGGGGTGGGAGCTTAAATCTGACTTTGGCGTTTAGAGGCGTGGCCTTTGGAAGGTGTTAAGGTTTAGATAAGGTCATTAGGGTGAAGCCCTTGTAATTGAATCCTGGTGGGTTTATAAGAACAGAGATACACACATACAATCCCACCAGGACGTGAGGCAGCGTGGGGGCAGGGGACTTGCCAGCCCCTGTGAGCTGTGAACCTCTTTATGGAGTAGCATGCCTCAGGGACTTCATTATAGTAACAAAGAGCTGGCTGATGCTCCAGGTTTTCAGTGGAGAAATGACAATCTGGCTTACATTTTTTTTTTTTTTTTTTTGACAGGCAGAGTGGACAGAGAGACAGAGAGAAAGGTCTTCCTTTGCTGTTGGTTCACCCTCCAATGGCCGCCGCGGCCAGCGCACCGCGCTGATCCGATGGCAGGAGCCAGGAGCCAGGTGCTTTTCCTGGTCTCCAATGGGGTGCAGGGCCCAAGCACCTGGGCCATCCTCCACTGCACTCCCTGGCCACAGCAGAGGGCTGGCCTGGAAGAGGGGCAACCGGGACAGAATCCGGCGCCCCGACCGGGACTAGAACCCGGTGTGCCGGCGCCGCTAGGCGGAGGATTAGCCTAGTGAGCCGCGGCGCCGGCCTTCAATCTGGCTTACATTTTGGCAGAGTCACTTTGGCTGCTATGTTGGGAATTCGTGTAGAGAGGAAGGAGTTACCCAGGCAATAGGTGGATGGTGGTGACCTGGGCCAAACTAAGTAAAAGAATCAGGTTGGATTACTTGGTGGATCTGATGGGAGGGTGGGATAAAGAGTGCCTGGATACATGGAGAGCTGAGCTTGGAGATGGTAAGGGAGACTGGGAATTCGGTTTTGGTGGGGACTTTGGGTTGTTTTCCTCTTTGCCTCCTCCCTGTCTCTCCCCTACAGCATCCTCCTTCAGGGAGGAGGAGTTCCAGAATGGCTGAGGAGAAGAAGCTGAAACTTAGCAACACCGTGCTGCCCTCGGAATCCATGAAGGTGGTGGCCGAGTCCATGGGCATCGCCCAGATCCAGGAGGAGACCTGCCAGCTGCTGACCGATGAGGTCAGCTACCGCATCAAGGAGATCGCCCAGGTAGCCGGGGCCTTCCGTCCAGGGTGTCGCCTGGGCCCTCTTCTCCCTCCAGGTCTTGGATTGATGATGTCTGTTCTCCCTCCTCCCCAGGACGCTTTGAAGTTCATGCACATGGGTAAGCGGCAGAAGCTCACCACCAGCGACATTGACTACGCCCTGAAGCTGAAGAACGTCGAGGTGACGGGGGCGGAGGGGTGGCAGCAGGGAGCGGAGACGCCAGCCTTCCAGATGCTGCGTTGACCTTCGGCCAGGCCTCCACGGGCTCCTCTCTCAGTGTCTGCGTCTCTCCTGCTGCAGCCCCTCTATGGCTTCCACGCTCAGGAGTTCATCCCTTTCCGTTTCGCCTCTGGCGGGGGACGGGAGCTGTACTTCTACGAGGAGAAGGAGGTTGATCTGAGCGACATCATCAACACCCCGCTGCCCCGGGTGCCCCTGGACGTCTGCCTCAAAGGTCGGGGCAGGGGTGGGCGGGGTGGCGGGGAGGAGGAGTGTGGGTGTGGGTGTGAGAAAGTCAGAAGAGAAGCAGGCCTCTGGTGAGTGGCAAGAAGGGGATCAGGGACAAACACGCCTCCCTCAGGGTGGCGTGGCCGCCTCATGTCCAGGTCCCGCACCTCAACTTGACACCTCTTTCCTGCAGCTCACTGGCTGAGCATTGAAGGCTGCCAGCCAGCTATACCAGAGAACCCACCCCCAGGTAACCGCCATACCCAGCGCCCACCCCTGCCCTGTCCTCCATCCCCTCCTCCTGCCTCGCGTCACCTCTCCTGCTGGGACACCTTTCCCTCCAGCTCCCAAAGAGCAGCAGAAGGCTGAGGCCACAGAACCCCTCAAGTCCACAAAGCCGGGCCAGGAGGAAGATGGGCCCCTGAAAAGCAAAGGTCAAGGGGCCGCGCCAGCCGACGGCAAAGGTCAGTGCTGCTGGGCCAGGCTCCTCCCGACGCCCACTGGTCGTTTGTGAAGTGCGTGAGGTCATGGCCAGTGAGGCCCGGAAGGGATGGAGAACCCTAGGAGAGGGAGCCAGGCCGCCTGGATGGGGATGTGGGACGTCGAGGTTGTCTGGCACCGCGGCATCTTCTGGAGCTTCCTTCTGCAAACCTGTGTCCTCGGTTCCCACAGGGAAAGAGAAGAAGGCACCGCCCCTGCTGGAGGGGACCCCTTTGCGCCTGAAGCCCCGGAGCATCCACGAGTTGTCCGTGGAGCAGCAGCTGTACTACAAGGAGATCACAGAAGCCTGCGTGGGGTCCTGCGAGGCCAAGAGAGCGGTGAGGCCCCACCGCCCCGCCGGCCCGCCCTCCCCCCAGGACGCCTCCTCTGGGGCTCCAGGTTGTCCCACCATCCCGCCCCGCCTCACTCGCTCCCCCTCTCCCACAGGAGGCTCTGCAGAGCATTGCTACGGACCCGGGCCTCTACCAGATGCTGCCGCGATTCAGCACCTTCATCTCAGAGGGGGTGAGGATGAGGTTCAGCAGGAGCAAGGGGTGCTCTGAGTTCTTGCACCTCGGGGGGTCTCACTGCCCCCACCTCTCCCCGGCCACAGGTCCGTGTGAACGTAGTTCAGAACAACCTGGCCCTGCTCATCTACCTGATGCGCATGGTAAAGGCGCTGATGGACAACCCTACGCTGTATCTAGAAAAATACGTGAGTGCCCCTGCCTGCCCTCCGGCCTCCCCGCGGCCACTGAGGCGGCACCTGCCAGGCGGGCTCAGCTGAGCCACGCCTCTCCGTCAGGTGCATGAGCTGATTCCAGCTGTGATGACCTGCATTGTGAGCAGGCAGCTGTGCCTGCGACCCGATGTGGACAATCACTGGGCACTCCGGGATTTTGCCGCCCGCCTGGTGGCTCAGATCTGCAAGCATTTCAGCACAACCACTAACAACATCCAGTCCCGGATCACCAAGACCTTCACCAAGGTGAGCTGGCTGCTCCCCGTCACTGCCCCAGGCCCGTCAGCAGCTCCGCCCACAGCAGCCGCGGGGGACAGAATGCTGTCCTTTTCAGACACCGTTGATCTGGTTTGTTTTCCTTCCCCTCAGAGCTGGGTGGACGAGAAGACTCCGTGGACAACTCGTTACGGCTCCATCGCAGGCTTGGCGGAGCTGGGACACGATGTCAGGCCCCCACGGGGAAGCAGTGGGGAGGGAGGGGGTCCCGAGGTTACAGAGGGCAACAGCCTCTACCTGAGACCCCTGGTGACGGGGGCCCTGGCCTCGCCTGTTCTTGTCAACAGGTGATCAAGACTCTGATTCTGCCACGGCTGCAGCAGGAGGGGGAGCGGATCCGCAGCGTCCTGGACGGGCCCGTGCTGAGCAATATCGACCGCATCGGGGCCGACCACGTGCAGAGCCTCCTCCTGGTGACCAAAGCCCCTGCCTGCCCACCACTTGCCACTAACACCCCTGTTTCCCGCCCTCACACAGTGCTGAGCTTGGCCACATTTATCTGAGCTCCTGTTCTGCGGGCAGACAGACTAAAATCCAGGAGGGTCATGAAGGAAATCGGGGCATCCACTCAGCCTGCAAACTTGCCCAGCCCCCTGCCCCCCATGCTCTCCATCACCAGGGCCCCCTGCCGTGCGGGGCAGGCGTACACCCCCTGGATCAGGTGCCTCGCAGATGTTACTTAGCAAGCTGCTTCATTCCCACCAGCTGGTGCCTGTACTTCCTTATGAGGAAAGCCCACAGCATTCCTAACAGCAGCTTGGCCGAGTCCCACGGTCACCCTTTCTAAGAGTGCCAGCCTTCTCTCTGCAGAAACACTGTGCCCCTGTTCTGGCAAAGCTGCGCCCACCGCCTGACAATCAGGATGCCTATCGGGCAGAATTTGGGTCCCTCGGGCCCCTCCTCTGCTCCCACGTGGTCAAGGCCCGGGCCCAGGCTGCTCTGCAGGCTCAGCAGGTCAACAGGACTACGCTGACCATCACACAGGTCAGCGACCCATGGGTGGGACGTGGGCCCTCGCCTGCAGGCCCCGAGTCAGTGAATGATGTAACACCCCATTTCTTGTGAGCAGTAAGCGGAGCCTGAGTCTCTCCCTTCAGCACCGCCTTTTTTCTTAGATGTTGACATTTCCTTCTGGTCTGTTCTTCCTGCAGCCCCGGCCCACACTGACCCTCTCACAGGCCCCTCAGCCTGGCCCTCGGACCCCTGGCTTGCTGAAGGTGCCGGGCTCCATCACACTGCCCGTCCAGACATTGGTGTCTGCACGAGCTGCCGCCCCACCCCAGCCTTCCCCTCCTCCAACCAAGTTTATTGTAATGTCCTCGTCCTCCAGCGCCTCATCCACCCAACAGGTATGCTGAGGAACTCTCCAAGGGCCATGCCACCTGAGAGCACCTGGGGAGGTCCCAGAGCAGAGCCCAGTCCATTCCAGGCCCAAGGTCAGGAGATGGAAGGGTCACTGCCAGGGGTCTGGGCCAGAGCAAGGCCTCCCGCTGCCTGTGGTCTAGGGTAGGGTTGGGGAAGGGCCATTTGGGTATTTATAAAAAAACATCCTTCACAGGCCATACACAATTCATCCACTTAGAATTCCCCTGGTATAGATTTATTGGGTTTCGAGTCCTGCCTGTGGCTCTCACAGGCTTTATCCGCCCCATGGGCTGGTTGTTCCCCCCGCCTGGTAGGGGTCTGGAGACATGAACCGTGCCTGGGAGAGCACCTGCAGGCCCCTGAGGAGAGCCAAGAGCATGGGGCAGTCGGTGGACACTGCTGTCCTGTCTCCCCAGGTCCTGTCCCTCAGCACCTCAGCCCCCGGCTCAGGCTCCACCACTACCTCTCCTGTCACCACCACGGTCCCCAGCGTGCAGCCCATTGTCAAGCTGGTCTCCACCGCCACCACCGCACCCCCCAGCACTGCCCCCTCTGGTCCGGGCAGTGTCCAGAAGTACATTGTGGTCTCACTTCCCCCCACAGGGGAGGGCAAGGGGGGCCCTGCCTCCCACCCTTCTCCCGTCCCTCCCCCATCATCTTCCCCATCCCCCCTTGGGGGCAGTGCCCTCTGTGGGGGGAAACAGGAAGCGGGGGACAGCCCCCCTCCAGCCCCAGGAACTCCAAAGGCTAATGGCTCCCAGCCTTCCGGCTCAGGCTCCCCTCAGCCTGCTCCATGACAGTGCCCCCCATCTGCTGACCTGCACGTGTGCCAAGTGGAAGGATGGAGCAGGCTGCTTCCCCCACGTGACTTTCTTTTTAGATTACACAGCCATTTCCCAGAATAAAAGTTTGATTTGTAAGCACTGATTTCCCCAAGTTCTCCCTGCATCGGCTCCCATGGAAGGGGGCCGGTCTCTCGAGCCCTCCTGGTTTCTCCAGACTTCCTGCTCACATCCAGAGCCCCAGACCAGGAGGCCAGAAAAGAAGATAATTGTCCTTTTCCCACTTAAGCGCCTGCTGCCTCTGTCCTTGTTTCGAGACCCAGCTTCAGATCCGAATGACATAGGCGCTGCTGTGGCTCAGGTGTCGCACCCACTTGTGGGGGTTGGTGTTACCACACGGCCTGCAGGACAGTCTGAGGAAGCGGACCTGGAGGCCAGAGCACGTGTGCCGGGGGAGTTCGAAGGAGAGGCTCGCAGGGCCCAGCCCCAGAGGAGAAGCCGAAGTGGGAGTCCCATGGCCGGGAGGCCCCGGGAGGCTGGGGACATCCATCTGTGAGGAGAGAGAGCAGGGAGGCTGTCAGGCCAGATGAGGCTGCAGCTGCTTTGGGAGGGCTGAGCAGGGGCTGGGGTGAAGGGCAATGGGGAGGGCGCTAGAGCAGCCGTGGGTACCTGGAAGAGGCCTGACAGTTGAGAGCCTCCTTGCACTCGAGGCAGGTCCCAGTGAAGGGCTCCCTCCCCCAGCTCTGCCTTCTGTTCTGGGCTGCTCAGCTCCTGAGACAGGCTGGGGTGGGGAAAGGGACAGTGCTGGGCCCAGCTGCACTGCAGCCCTGGGCCATGCTATTCCCCGGGGGAGCTCACACGCACCTGACCACCCCTCGCGGCAGGGGGAGGTGCAGCCTGACGTTGAGAGCTTGGCTGCAAACGAGAAAGGAGCAGAGTCGGCCCCAGAAGCCATGGTCGTCCCTGGTCCTGGTCCCCCTTGAGCGTCACTGTGGGAGTTCAGCACAGGTGCCACCTCCACTTCCTTCCCAAATGTTAATGCCGCCAGCGAAACTGGAATCTGAGGCTGGTGGCTGCACGTGAGGAAGCAGCATCGCATTCTCGACCTTGGCCCTGTATGCTGTCCTAGCTGGCTGGACCAGGAAAGGCCAGCGCCCTCCCTTACCTCTTTGGGGGCAGGTCACATCGCAACTTCAGGTAAACCTGGAGCCTGGATGAGAGGGTGAAACACCATCTGTTAGGTCGTGTCCTACCGGTATCTCACCAGTGCCCACCCAGGGCCTCCACGCACAAGGGGAAGGGCCAAAGCCCAACTCCACTAGGCAAGCTTTTTCCCAATCTGCACCCTCTAACACGACCTCCACCTCCCTTCTGTGGTAAGCTTTGGCAGCTTAAATGTCTGGGCTCAGGTTCCATAGTTAGAACACAGGGAATGGTCTCACCGGCCTGAGCCTCGGTCCCACTGCACAGAGGGAAAGAGCCGGAAGGGAAGTGGGGAGGGGAGGTCATCGGAGAGTTGGTACCGCATCACCGTCAGCTGAGGTCAGAGAGGAAGGAGGTCAGGTTCCTCCTTCCCGTCTTCCAGGGGAGCCCCCGCCCCCCAATCCTGACCTCGCCCTGAGGAGGCTGCAGGCGGAGGATCCGATGAGATTCAAACTCGTCCAGCTGTACCGAGCTGTGAAATGAGACTTCATCCACGCGAATTCCTGGCCCGTAACCTGGAAAGGTGGAAAAAGGCCTCTCCTGACCCACGTTTTGGGAGAGGGAAGGCTCCGTCTAACTCCTCTCTAGGAAATCCGGCTGGAACCGGCCCTTGGGAGACGAAGACCCTTGCTCTCCTCACCTCTCAATTCTGACTTCCCCACACAGAACTCCTCGGTCAAGCCGATGCGCATCTCTGTCCGAGGGAGGAATGCAGGAAAGGTCAGCAGATGTCTCCACAGGCGCCAAGGGGCCCGTCCCCACCCCAACCCGGGTTCTCACCCGAGCCACTGGGCAGGAAGCTCTTGAGCCGGATCTCTCCCTGCACATCCACCTTCAACAGGGAGCCCTGAGAGTGGCAGGGAGGTTACTGCCCTGCGTCCCGACCCCCCAGCCCATTGCCCGGGCTCCCTCTGTCCGCAGCTCTAGGCTTAGAGCACCCAGACTCACATTAGATGCTATCAGTACAGATAATCTCTCAACCACGTCCAGGAAAACTTCATTCTTCTGGCTCTGAGGAAGAGAATGTGGGAGGCTGGTGGCTGACCAGCCTATGCCCTGGAACGCTTGGGCAGAAGGCACAGGGCAGTCAAAGGTGGGGACACACGGTCAGGGGTGGAAAGCCACGTTGGGGCTTTGGGTCTCTGGGGCTGGATTCTGGGGCTCTGGGTTCTGGGAGAAAATCGGTTTGACCCCATGGATCTTTGCTTCACCTGGTCGGAGCGGCTGGACAGGACAGGGCGGCTGGCGGCACTGCTGGGAGCCACTTTGCTCTGTTGGGTCTCCGCACCAAACTGTGAAGCACCCAGAGCAATCAGCCCAGGGAACACTGGACACTCCCGGCTGGTCCTCCACCCACCCTCGGTCCTCGTCTTCCCTGACCTACCAAGCCAACACTGCTGAGGTCGAAGAGGCTGAAGGGCTTGCTGACCACAGCCTCTGTCTGGATGAAGTTCCTCAGCATCTCTGTGGCCGTGGTCTGAACATAGCCATAGTCCTAGCGGTGGAGAAGAAAGGCGGGTGTTTGGGCCGCCTGCGGAGCCGGGAGAGGGATGGAAAAGGAGGCCTCCTGACCATGGCGTCCCGTGGTAGAAGACTGGATGTATGGGGAGTCTTCAGATTCACAGGAAATCAATATTGGGGGAGTGGGGGGACGATGCGTGGGTTTCACAACCTTTGGCACTACGCGCATCCTTTAACGGCATTTGTTCGCGAAGTTTTGAGAAGTCCCTGGGTCTTACCAGCACCTCATCCAGGAGCTCGTAGACCAGGGCCACGTTACGGGAGATGGTCGCCTCGCAGAGGGAGCCGCAGTAGTCGCCCAGGAGAGTGGCTACCCTGAGGAGGGAGGCAGGCAAGTGCACCCCAGCCCAGTCCAGCCCTGCCCTGCCCTGCCCTGCCCTGCCCTGCCCGGCCCAGCCCTGCCCTGCCCTGCCCTGCCCTGCCCTGCCCGGCCCAGCCCTGCCCGGCCCGGCCCTCCTCACCGGGACAGCAGCTCGAGGAGGCTGAAGGGAGAAATATTTGCCCAAGTCGTGGCCACCAAGTAGAGGCCGCTGTGTCTGATGTGGATGAAATGCCGGCCATCGTGGTGCTGAGGCAGAGGCGGGGCGAGAGGCGCTGGGCTGTGGTGACCGAGGGCTCCCGAGGCCCACACCCGGCGACCCCTGGACCCTCCCCACGCCCCCCAAAGCGGGGGCACCCGCCGGGTCCGCCGGCTCCCAGCCCCCGCCCGCCGCGAGCGGTTACCATGACAACCGGGGACTCGTCTCCCGGCAAGCCCGTCAGCTTCCGGTAGAAGAGCTCGGCCACATCCCGGCCGCCGCTGTCTCCACGGACTGGCCGGTGGGAGAGGACAGTTAAGGAGCCAGCGACACAGGCTGACCCTGGGCACGACTCCCACCCGACCCCGCCCGCGGGTGGTCAAGGATACAGTCCTTGTAGATGAGCGGGTCCCCCTTGGAGGACAGAATGAAGAACTGGGAAATCATGGCCGTTCGGGAGGGCAGATCAGAACACGGCGAAAGTTGGGTCTGTCCCGCCCTGCGGTCCCGGAACAGAAGGACGCGAGAGGGCTGGCCCTTTAAGAGCGCTTCCCCGCCGCTTAGGCCGAACCGGGACCGCGGGAAACCCGGCGCCGCCCCTCCTCAGCAGGCGGTTACCTCCCGGCCCCTCCACCGCCTCCCCGTCGCTCAACCCAGGCTCGCCCCATCATTGGGCAAAGCTGGAACCTCCCAATGAGAGGGAGGGGCGGAGAGCCGGCCTCTCCGATTGGCCCGCACGCCGCGGCGCGGGTCACGTGGGGGGCGACGTTTCGCGCCAATTTCGGTTGGTCCGCCACAGCCCGCCGCGCGGACGGTCTGTGCTTCCCGTGAGCAAGACTATCGAGCCCGCCAACTGCTGCCGCCTGGCCCTCGGCAGCGATGGCGCTTAAGGACTACGCGCTCGAGAAAGGCAAGGGCCTGCGGGTGTGGGAGGGGCGCGCCCTGCATTGGATGCCTTCCGGCTAACACCTGTTGGTGGAAGCCGGGGGGTGGTGGTCTCGGGAGCCGGGTCGGGGGCGATCCGCGAGGGCCGCGGCCAGGCTGAGGTGGACGGTGCCTGGGAGGCGCATGGGAGCATCGGGGTTGCAGAAACGCTGGCCATTGCCCGACTAGGGTGTTGGGGTTCGTGGGAGGGGGAGTAACTGAGGTGGCGCGCCCCAGGGGGGGTGGGTCGCGTCCGCGAGAGACCGGGTCTTGGGGGACCCTGTCTAGGGGCTTTAGCCTGCACGATGGCGACTCGCCCGGGGGCACCCCCTGGTTTCCCGCGCCCTCCGGAGCCCTGGCGCCGAAGTCGGGGGGGGGCGGGCCGGCCGGGGCCGCTGCGCGCTGCGATTGGCTGTTTCGGGCCGCCCTCCCGGCGGAAGTGGAGGCGGCGGAAGTGGCGGCCCGCGGGCGGAGGGAGTGTCGTGTGTAAACAGTGTCCTTCCGCGCGGTGGCCTCGGCGAGCGCGGCCGAGGCGGGGGGCGGGGGGGGCGTGCCCGGACCCCGAGCGGCCGGCGCGAGGCCGGGAGAGGCGGCCGTCGGGCGAGGCCGAGCGGCCCCCGGGGTGCTGGCCGGTCGCCGGACGGGCTCCCGCCGCGGGCGGAGGAATCCCCGAGCGGTGAGGCGGCTGGAATCGGGGCCCATGTGCTTCTTTGTTTACTAAGAGCGGAAGCGGTGGCGGGGAGCCCCGCGGGGACGCAGGGCCGGGGACCCGCGGGGAGAGCGGGATCGGCCGCGGGTGCTGCGGGGTGAGGGAAGCGGCTGGGGAGCGCGGAGACGGAGATTCCCCCGGGGGAGAGGGTTGGGTAGTAAGTTCTCGGCTGCCCGGGGGCCAGGCTTGCGAAGGGAGTTGTGTCCACCCCGGCAGGTCTGTCCCGAGGCTCCTGCCATTGGCTAATTTAGTCCTAATTTAGTTTCTAAGTGACCGCGGCTCCCTGGGGTTGCCGTCAGGGTTTGCAGGGTTAGCCCTTAGGGTTTCTCGTTTCCGTTGCAGAGAAGGTTAAGAAGTTTCTGCAGGAGTTTTACCAGGATGAAGAGTTGGGGAAGAAGAAGTTCAAATATGGGGACCAGTTGGTAGGTGTAAGATGGGTTGAAGAACGTAAGGGGTGGGGTGGTCGCTCAAGAGGCCGCAGCAGGCACCCTGGCTCCTTTCAGTAAGTGCATTCCTGACACGTTCAAGGGAGATCCTGATACCTGCTAAGATTCTGTGCTCGAGTAATGAGGGCGTTTTTAGGAGTGGGCTTGGGAGCTGAGGTATTTCTCTGTTGTACTCTCCTGTGGATGCCCAGACCTGGGCTCTGAGCTCGCGGCACTGGGCCCTTACAAGTGACCATGGTGAATTTGCCTTTGAGGTGTTGCTCTCTCCGCCCTTCCCCAGGTTCGCCTGGCTCATCGGGAACAAGTGGCAATGTACGTGGACCTGGATGACGTCGCCGAGGACGACCCTGAGCTGGTGGACTCCATTTGCGAGAACGCCAAGCGCTACGCGCGGCTCTTTGCTGACGCCGTGCAGGAGCTGCTGCCTCAGTACAAGGATCGGGAGGTGAGTGGCTGGAGCTGGTGCTGGGATGCTTCTCAGGCCCTGCTGGTGTCTGAGCTGGCGGAAAGGGGGAGGGGGCGTTGGCTTTTATATCTGCCTTCTGTGTGCCTTTCCCTGTCTCTCATTTTCTTTTTTTGCTTTAGGTAGTAAATAAAGATGTCCTGGATGTTTACATTGAGCACCGGCTGATGATGGAGCAGCGGAGCCGGGACCCTGGAGCTGCCCGAAGCCCCCAGAACCAGTACCCTCCTGAGCTCATGCGCAGATTGTGAGTGGTCGCTGCGAGAGGGCGGTAGGCGTGTGTCCTCCTGGGCCTTGCTGATGACCGTCTTCCCCCCTTAGTGAGTTGTATTTTCAAGGCCCGAGCAGCAACAAGCCTCGTGTGATCCGGGAAGTACGGGCCGACTCTGTGGGTAAATTGGTGACCGTGCGCGGAATCGTCACTCGTGTCTCTGAAGTCAAACCCAGGATGGTGGTGGCCACTTACACCTGTGACCAGTGTGGGGCAGAGACCTACCAGCCAGTACGTAACAGGGCAGTGCTTAACTGTTGTTTTCTGTAAAACTAATTTTACCTGCTGATGTGTGTATCTGTCATTCTGTGCTTACCGCCAAAGATAGCTGTATTTTTTTCCCGTAAATAGTAGTCTATTTTGTTTTCTTGGCGTTTTTATCATTTACAGCCCAGATTAGCTGTAGGCATTCTTGATACTTGTCTGTTGTCTGCTGTGAAGAGAAAATGTGATTCAGGTAACTGAAGCTCATAAGGATCCTTCTTCTTCTGATTTCTTTTGGTGCCTCCCTTATCACATTCTAGATCCAGTCTCCCACTTTCATGCCTCTGATCATGTGCCCGAGCCAGGAATGCCAGACCAACCGCTCAGGCGGGCGGCTGTATCTGCAGACACGCGGCTCCAAGTTCATCAAGTTCCAGGAAATGAAAATGCAGGAACATGTGAGTTTGGGGTACGTGGCCCAGGCAGGTGGAGCGGGGAGTCCACTCAAGTCCTGCAGTCCATTCCTGAAGGAGCAGAAAGCCCAGGAGAGGGAGGAGCTGGCACGGGGTCACATGGAGTGAGGGAGGTTTAACTGGGATTCTGAAGAGTGGGATGCCTCCGGGGGGAAGGCTAGGTCCTTGTGGGCTTGGGTCCCTGTCTGCTGGCTTTCAGACTCTCTCTTCTCCAGAGCGACCAAGTGCCTGTGGGAAATATCCCACGGAGCATCACGGTGCTGGTGGAAGGGGAGAACACAAGGATTGCCCAGCCTGGAGACCACGTCAGTGTCACGGGCATCTTCCTGCCACTCCTGCGCACTGGGTTCCATCAGGTGGTCCAGGTAAGAAAGAGTTGGAAATGAGGGGGAAATAGTCCCCCTTCCCCTGACTGGACCTCAGAGGGAACAACAGAAAAACAAACAAGCAGACAAACAGAACAAAGGGTTGTGTGAAGCAGTCATTAGGGGAGTGATCATGGCCAAGTTAAAGGGATTTCATTCCCGCTTTTTCCTGCCCAAGGGTTTACTCTCGGAGACGTACCTAGAGGCCCATCGAATCGTGAAGATGAACAAGAGTGAGGATGACGAGGCTGGGGCTGGGGAGCTGAGCAGGGAGGAGCTGAGGCAGATTGCAGGTGAGGGGCCAGGAAGGGTGGGCGCTTGCCTGGTCCTGGCCCCTTTCCCCGACCAAAGAGCCCGACCTTCCCGTTCCGCAGAGGAGGATTTCTATGAAAAGCTGGCAGCGTCTATCGCCCCAGAGATTTACGGGCACGAAGATGTCAAGAAGGCACTGTTGCTTCTGCTGGTGGGAGGTGTGGACCAGTCTCCTCGAGGAATGAAGATCAGGGGTGAGGAAGGGAGGGAGGGAGGGGAGGGCAGGGCAGGGTGGATGGAGTCATGGGGGTTGGACCTCAAGCGTGTTTCTGGACAACCTGCAGTGGGAGAAGTCACTCGGGCTGCCTTTCCTTCCAGGCAACATCAACATCTGCCTGATGGGGGACCCCGGGGTGGCCAAGTCGCAGCTCCTGTCTTACATCGACCGCCTGGCCCCCCGCAGTGAGTATCCAGCCCTGGGGAGGCAGAGAGGACCACAGTACTCCAGAGGCAGGAGGAGGTGGAAGGAGCGGGTCTGGGAAAGGTGGTGGCAAGACCAGGGCGGTGAGAGTGGAGGAATCCAGCGCAGGTCTCGTCTCACTGCCCTGTTTCTTGGGTGCTTGGCCTTTTCCCTTGCTCCCTGCTCGTTCTCACGTGCACGCTTGCTTCTCTTTGTCCAGGCCAGTACACAACAGGCCGCGGCTCTTCGGGAGTGGGGCTCACGGCAGCCGTGCTGCGAGACTCTGTGAGCGGGGAGCTGACCCTAGAGGGCGGGGCCCTCGTGCTGGCCGACCAGGGCGTGTGCTGCATCGATGAGTTTGACAAGATGGCGGAGGCCGACCGCACGGCCATCCACGAGGTCATGGAGCAGCAGACCATCTCCATCGCCAAGGCGGGCATCCTCACCACACTCAATGCCCGCTGCTCCATCCTGGCTGCTGCCAACCCTGCCTACGGGCGCTACAACCCCCGCCGCAGTCTGGAGCAGAACATCCAGCTCCCCGCTGCGCTGCTCTCCCGATTCGATCTTCTCTGGCTGATCCAGGACCGGCCCGACCGAGACAACGACCTCCGGTTAGTGGAGCTGCATGGCCAGGGAGTGGGGTTCTGGAGGGAGGGCGGGAACCCCGGAAAATGGCTCGGCACAGCAGGGGTTGCTAGGCAGTTCTTAGAGGGCCCCTGCCCAAGTGCTGCTGAGGGCTTCCTGGAGAGTTTGTTCTTCCATCTGTGAGGCAGCCACAGAGCCAAGAGGAATATTTAAAGCAGGACGTGGGGTGTGGCGCTCTAAAGAGCCTGCCTTCTTAACTCTTCCCAGGTTGGCCCAGCACATCACCTATGTGCACCAGCACAGCCGGCAGCCCCCCGCCCAATTCGAACCTTTGGACATGAAGCTTATGAGGTAAGAGGCTGCTGGGGGGGGGGACAGGTGTACTTCAGGCAAGTGTGCAGCCTGTGACAGCGTCGTGGCTGTGTGGCTCCTGAAAGGCTTTCACGGAGCGGGTGGGTTGGCTTTTTAATACTCTGCCCACCCTCTCCCTGCTACCCGCTTCTGCCATGTGCCAGGCGTAAGAACACCCAGTCTGGGTTCCCCGAACCTGGCTAGCCAAGGACCGCATGTCTTTAGAATCTGCCTTTCTCGCCACCCCCACCATGGTCCTGCCTGCGGGGGTGGGCACAGCGTTCAGGCTGCGCTGGATCGCCCTCCAGCTCTTCTCCATGGCCCCAGTGTTCCCGGTGTGTGCTCAGGGTCTTGCTGTGCGCTCTATCTACTGAAATAGTATGTTTCTAGTCCCTTTAGCCACATCATGTTTACAGGAGGGTGGGTGATCTTTTGTGACAGTTGGATTTGTCTTAATTTCACAGAGGTCACTTTCCTGAAAAGTTGAAAATCATCTGAAACATGATGTGGAAATCCCTCAGCGATACTGGAGTCAAACACAGTCACCCACTCGTTTTTCTGCTTAAAAGTCCTTACTTCTGAGAGTTTTCTCATTAAATGGAGGAGCCATTAGGCAGAAAACACCATGCCCATGTGTGCACCCCATTCCCCCTCTTCATGTTCTGCTTTCCCGTGAACCTTTTCTCCCACAGACGCTACATAGCCATGTGCCGTGAGAAGCAGCCCACAGTGCCAGAGTCCCTGGCAGACTACATCACAGCAGCATACGTGGAGATGAGGCGAGAGGCCTGGGCCAGTAAGGATGCCACATACACTTCCGCCCGGACACTGCTGGCCATTCTCCGACTTTCCACTGCTCTGGTGAGTGCCTGGTTCCCCGTACTGCTGGAGGGTGTCCGTTTCCATCCCTACTGGCAATGAACCCTCACTTGGTCCTCTCGCTGCCGCCTCCTCCCACACCCGCCCTGCTGGGGCTAAAGTGCTGACAGTGCAGATAGTGGTCCTGTCCGTGCTACCGCACTGTGGGTACTTGCTGCTCCAGCAGGGCACGCACGTCCACGGAAGGAGAGGCCTTCTCTCCCCACTTCTGCAGCCTCACTGAAGCGGGGGAGGGTCCCTCTCTCTCCCCACCTCCTTGATCCTGTGCTATAAGCTTCCTTTCTGTCCTCACATCTCGGACCTTAGTCCCGGGGGCTCCAAAGTGCTGTTCGTGCAGGTAGTGTGATTACCTGACCTACTGCTGAGCTAGCACTTCCCGAGCCCCTGGGACACAGCCTCTCTGCCAACCGCCTGCTAGGCTGAGCTCCCCAGGCTGCATCTGTCGTGGTGGGGAGCCCACTGGAGTTCGGAAGGGTCTGGTCTCCCTCACAGGACAGCTGAACACCGGGACTGGCCAGTGTTGAGAGGCGGAGACTTGGGCAATTGCTGGACGCTGCCCTGGGCATTGCACTTGTCTCGGTCTGACAGTGCCGGCCCTACACTGCGGATGTGGGGGAGCAGGGGAGGGGTCCCTGCTCCTTTTGCGAGCAGACGGCACATAGGTTGTCCAGCCTTAAAGCTGGAACCAAGGGGGTTTCTCTGACTTTATTCCATTCTCCTCCTGTCCCCCTCTCTCCCCTACTTTCCCCTTAGGCACGTCTGAGAATGGTGGACACAGTGGAGAAGGAAGATGTGAATGAAGCCATAAGGCTCATGGAGATGTCCAAGGACTCACTTCTGGGCGACAAGGGGCAGACAGCCAGGTGAGTGGTTTAATGATGAGATTGGGTCACCTTGACCGTTGCAGGCTTCAGCATCCAGATGCATGAGCTGACCACTCTCCGTTGTCACTGTCAAGTGTCCTGGCTTGTGCCCTGATTCCATACCCTCGTGTTTCCTTCAGGACACAGAGGCCAGCAGATGTGATATTTGCCACTGTCCGCGAGTTGGTCTCGGGGGCCCGGAGCGTCCGGTTTTCTGAGGCAGAGCAGCGCTGCATATCCCGTGGCTTCACACCTGCCCAATTCCAAGCAGCTCTGGACGAGTATGAGGAGTTGAATGTCTGGCAGGTCAATGCTTCCCGGACACGGATCACTTTTGTCTGATTCCAACCTGCTTGAGACCTTGGGGACCCACTGTGCTCGCCGCTCACCTGCCGCCTTTGCAGGTGTAACCCAGCTCCGGAGGGGTGGGAGGAGCCCTCTTCCTGTGCTGCACTTGCTTGTTTTGCTACTTTTGTTAATATAATAAAGTGTGTAGATTGCTGCCTTGTACCTTGGTCCTGACTTCTGTTAAACAGGTGTTGTGGGGCTTTAAGAGTCCTCTCTCCTTCCCCTTTATGCTGGCCCTACCCCATCTCTGAGCTTTCTGAGAAAGTACCTTCGCTACCCACCAGCCACCACGAGATGCTGGGGAGGCAGTGAGGAGCAAGTTCCTATTTAACCTCAGCACCAGTGAAAACCATAGGCAAGACAGCGGTTCCCTTTCCTATTTCTTGAGGTGTATCCATCACAACAGCTCAGATAGCTCGATCCCCAGCTTCTGTAAAGCCCCTTCAAGGGGGCTGAGGAAAAGACCAGGAGTGGCATGCAGTGGTGTTACCAGGCACAGGTAAATCCCCACTTTCTGGCCTTTCCCAAGTGAGTGCCAATAGCACCACTGTCAACAGGCAGGGGTGAGGCACTGGGTCAGTGCAGTAACCCAGGGGAAACCACTCCCTCTAATTCTCAGCACCCACAGGAGCCAGGCTTTTGAAATGTCCCTAATAAAAATGAGCTTACTATTGCACTCCCCTTTTTATGTATGAGAAAAACTTTAATGAAGTTAATTTAAATGGGGAAAGCAGCTGCACTGAGCTCAGGTGGACCCCACAGGGTGACGTGAAAGCGCAGAGCAAAGATCGCGGATGCTCCTGAGTCCACCCAACTGGCTGTGGGGTCACTTCAGGAGGCAGTGCACTGCCAAGTGCTGGCACAAGGGGCCTCGCCTAAGGTCCCCGCTGGGAAATCTGGTGCCCGACAGAGAGGACAGAGCCACTGGGAGGGGTGCTGAGGGGCTGTTCCCCTTTTATTGACCACAGCGGTTCTCTAAGGGAGTGGCGCGCCCCTCCCCTTGGGACAGGCCACTGAGCCCAGTGCATCCTTTCAAGTGGCCTCAGAAGAAGAGGCCCCGCATCCGTCTGCCGATGCCTTGTCGGTCATAGAGGACGTTGAACTTGTTCACAAACTGGTTCATGGTGTTGCAGGTTTTGGTGATGGTGCCGAGGTAGGCCATGAGCCCCACATCATTGCATTGCTGCAGGGGAACAGAAAGACCCAGTTCTCCAGGCATCCCTCTTTGCAGTCCCATCCTGTGAGCAAAACCTCCCCAGCCGGGTTTCATACTCACATCGTAAAAGTCTGTCTTGAACTTGTCTGTGCTGAGCACTGGGAGGCAGTGACACAGAGCATAGGCCTCCCGCAGGATCTCATGGTTAAAGGGGACCTCACCTACAGACAAGAAGAGACCGCATTCACATGGATGCTGTCACTTGGCCGGGGGGGAGGTGGACGCCACAGGCCTGCCCTACCTGCTTCAGAGGCCTTGACGTACTCCAGGATGAGCTTGACCCGGCTGTGCAGCATCTTGATGGCGCTGTGCTGTGCTATCAGGTGTTCAGCCACTGCAAGGGACAGGCACGGGCAGAGAGTGAGAAGGCACTGGCCGTACCTCCCACCCTCGCTTCCAAGGAATCCCCTCCATTACCGGTGGAGTTCTCTCCGCTGCCTGTGGCTGTCATTCGGGCCACATGGTCAACACCAATGCGTTCAGCTTCCTCTGTGGCCAGAGTGTATGTCAGCTCAGCAAACAGCATCGTGGCCTGTGGAGCAGAGCGTCCCACACAGTGAGAGTCAAAATCGGAAATGCGTCGAGCAGGCCCTGAGGGGTGAGGGGTCAGGCGTTACCTCTCCGTTGATTATATCAATGACAGACTCAAAAACGCTGACAGGAAGCTGTAAAGAACAGAGAACAGCTCTTAGGAACAGCAAATGACTTGAATCTCCACTAAGTGCTACACGTGGGCACCGTCTCCCATCCGATCTTCACAAGAACCCAGGGAGGTAGGGAGTATCCCCGTTTCACATGTGAAACAGCAATGTGGAGGTTAAACGCCACTCAAAGCCACGCAGCTGCTAAGGGCAGAACGGAGGTTCAACCCCAGCACTGCCCAGTTGCTAAGAAGCTGTGCTACCGGCAACAGCGCACCGACAAACAAGCACGGCACGAGGTCAGGACTACTCACGTCTGTGTGCTTGGTCATAGGGTTCAACTTCAGAAAGAGGGGGCTCTCGATGATCTCACACACCTGGAGGAGAGGGCCGGCGTGCAGGTGGACGTCCCACCCTCTTCTCCCCGCCCCCCGCCCCCCACCCGCCAGTCGCAGGTGTGAGCGTCTGTATCTGTACCTGCTTGTGGACGTGGATGTCGGAGGGGTCAGGCGGCCCCCCTGTGGTGTACCAGCCCAGAAACTCCAGCTCCTTGAATACCTGTTTAACTGGAGAGCAATCGTACTTCTTTAAACCACCCTCCCTGCCTCCAAGCTCCCCCTCCCTCCTCACCCCTGCTATTCTGACCGCTCATCCTGTACACCGTTTTAGGGAATACGGTCTTGAGATCTCTTCAGGTGAATTAACTCTTCCATTCTCGGCTTCCTCTCCTGGTTATTTCTCCCCGGTCCTGTGTTTTGTTTTGTTTTGTTTTTCTTTCTTTGACCCCCCACACCTCTCCCCGACTGGCTTCCCCTCTCACACTGCTCCTCCTTGGTGTAATAATACTCCTTGTCGATGATAATCTTCTCTTCCACGGTGTGGGACAGCAGCTCAAAGGAGTTCATCACCTCAATATTCCGGCCTTCCTGCTTCCCGATCAGAGCCCCGACCACTGTGGGGAAGAGAACGGACGTGAGAGGGGACGGTAGGGAATCCCAAAACTTGATCTCCCGCTGGGGGTCTGAGGGCACGTGTGGGCCGACTGCTGCAGAAACAGTGATGGGGGAGGGGGACTGGCTTCGGCTGACGAGGCCCGGGGAGCTACCGAGGGGACGGGGTCGGAGAAGCACGCCCAACACTCACCCTGCATAGGCCGCCCCTCCTGGGAGCGCATGCGGATCCAGTGGTCGGAGATGTTCAGGATGACGAGAGGATGGAGGGCGACGGAAACACTGCCGGTCACTCCGGAGGCCATCACGCTGGGGACCACTGACGGTGCAGGGGACGGAGAGAGGGTGAGAGTCTCCGGACCCCCACGCTCTTCCCTGGAGATGGGAGTCGGGGGACGGCAGAGCCGGGGCCATACATCGCTCCCACAAGTTATCCCACCGCCCTCCTCACGTCCCCCGGGAGTCCAAGACGGCCTGCACGCACCCCTGAGCGCTGTCTCCAGAAGTCGCCCCCGCGCAGCCCGTTACCTGCTCCATCCACCTCCATCCCGCTGCTCCCTCCGGTCCCGTTCGCCGCAGCCGCCGCCGCCGCCATTTTCCCCGCGCCCGCCAGCCTCGGCCCCGCCCCCTGCCCTCCCGGCTTCCGTACGGCGAGCGGCGCATGCGCGGTGTCCCCGCGGCGCGCGTCGGGCCGCCCGGGAGCGAGCGGTCAGTTCCCTGAGTGTGGCGCGGTCTCGGTGGAGCGTGACCCCCGCGTCTCGCCTGCGGGCGACCTGGGCCGGATCAGTCCACTCCGCGCGCCCCGCCTGAATCGCTCCCGACAGTAAAGCTGGGACAAGAATGGCTAGCGCTTAAGGGGGTTGCAGAATGAATGCAATGGCAACTTTCACAATGAAATCCAGACTGCTGACCGCAAGCCGAGAGGCCGTGTGCTCTGACCCCTGCCTGCCGGGCGGCCTGGCCCTGGCTTCCACCTTTCCAGCCTTGGGTCCCTGGGGTTCGGCCAGGACCTCGTATCTGTTTTCCGTACATGCTCACTGACTGCCAGCCACAGGGCTGGGAGTCCTGTCTCTCATCCCGGTCCCCCCTGTGACCAACATACATGGGGGCCTAAATTTTTTTTTTTTTTTTTTTTTTTGAGTGAATGGATGCAGAACTTTGGGGTGGAGCCGGGATTTGGGCGGCTCCGTCTGCATATCCTATCTTTCCTCCTTCCAAATACTGGTATTAGGTGCAGCACTGGGAACAGCCCCCACCCATCCCAACCTCCCAACCTTGCCGGCCCCAGCCCACCCCAGCTCTCCCTGCTCCCCCAAGCCCGAGCCAGTTGCGGTCACCGACCGCCCCTCCTGCTGCCGCTACAGTTTGGGTCCGGCTGGCCGTTTCGGTGTCTGCATCGCCGCCCCCAAGTGTGAGCTGGTCCCAGGAGGTGTTCCGGGGAGAGTGGTGGGAAATCCAGCAGTCACCCCACTTAGGAGCCTGAACAGAGTTCCACAGTTCTCAGAGGAATGGACTTGAGACACGCTGCGGGGTGAGGGGACTTCTGGCCTACGGGAATTAACCGTTTACCTCATTCCTCGGGGCGAGTGTTTGGCTCAACAGTTAAGTTGCTGTTTGTGTCACTTGCATCATCAGAAAATGCGTGTGCAGTCCCAGCTCTGCCTCTGATCCAGCTTCCTAGAATACACTCCCTGGGAGGCAGCAGGTGATGGTTCAAGAGCACGTGGGGGGCCGGCGCTGTGGCCTAGAGGTGCCCCCACCTGCCTTCAGTGGCCGGCATCCCATACAGGTGCCGGTTCAAGTCCCGGCTGCTCCACTTCTGATCCAGCTCTCTGCTATGGCCTGGGAAAGCAGTGGAGGATGGCCCAAGTCCTTGAGACCCTGCACCGGCGTGGAGACCTGGAAGAAGCTCCTGGCTCCTGGCTTTGGATCGGCACAGCTCCAGCCAGTTTACCTCAGCTTCTTGCTCTTAAACTCAGAGGCATAGTTGCTAAGGATGGAAAATAAGCAAAAAGCCAGAAACTTACCAAAAAAAAAAAGCATTTGTATTGAACATATACAGACCTTTTCTCCTTGTTATTATCCCCTAAACAATACAGTGTAACTACTTACATAGAGTTTACATTGTGCTAGTTATTACAGTTATCTAGAGATGGGGCTGGCACTGTGGCACAGCAGGCTAAAGTCCTGGCCTGCAGTGCCGGCATCCCATATGGATGCCAGTTCGAGTCCTGGCTGCTCCACTTCTGATCCAGCTCCCTGTTAATGTACCTGAGAAAGCAGTGGGAGATGGCCCAAGTCCTTGGGCCCCAGCACCCACATGGGAGACGCGGAAGAAACTCCTGGCTCCTAGCTTTGGAGAACTCCGGCCGTTGTGGCCATTTGGGGAGTGGATCAGTGGATGGAAGACCTCTCTCTCTCTCTCTGGCTCTACCTCTCTCTGTAACTTTCAAATAAATAAAATAAATCTTAAAAAAAAAGTTATCTAGAGATGATTTCAAATCTACAGGAGGATGTGTGTAGGATCTATGCAAATACGTCTGAGGATTCTGGTATCTATAGAAGTCCTGGAACCAGAGCCCGATAGACACAGAGAGTCGACTCCGTATACATCTATGTCCTTACTTTTGTTTTTTAAGGATGGAATGTCTCCCCTGTTCATGAGACTTTATTTGGGGGCTGGCTTTGTGACATAGCAGGTTAAGCCTCTGCCTGCAATGCCGGCATCCCATATGGGTGCCAGTTCGAGACCCAGCCACTCCACTTCTGATCCAGCTCTCCTCTGCTAATAACCCTGGGAAAGCAGCAGTAGATGGTCCAAGTGCTTGGGCCCCTGGACCCATGTGGAAGACCCTGAAGTTCTGGCTCCTGGCTTCTGCATGGCCCAGCCCTGAATTCTCTCTCTCCTCCTCTCTCCGTAACTCTTTCAAATAAAAAAATAAATCTTAAAAGAGAGGGACTTTGACACTTAGTTGAGTGCAGGGGCCCAAGGAATTGGGCCATCTTCTACTGCTCTCCCAGGCCATAGCAGGATCAGAGGTGGAGCAGCTGGGACTCGAACTGGCACCCTTATGGGAGGCAGGCACTGCAGGCGGCGGTTCTACCATCTGCGCCACAGCACCGGCCCCTTTGGGAATAATTCTAACACTAGTTAGGCCCGGCCCCTCCCGCACTACACACACCCCCGACATGGCCAGGGCCTCCCCCGGCAGAGCGAGGCCCAAGTTCCACCCTCGCCAGAGCTCTCTGATGGACTGCAGTATTTTTCTTCGGAAATTTAGTAACTTAAGGGTGCATTTTCCACAAGAGACACCCAATAATGTCGTCGGCTTCGAAGCAAATGTCCAGTCAGGGTACATGTTTTATACCGGCCACACCATCAGACAAACGCGGACCCGGCCGGCCGAGAACTCCGCGTGGGCGGGCGCCCGAGCATGCGCACTGCGCCCGAGCGCCGCGCCGGCCCCTGCCGCACCTGCGCCGCGGCCCGCCCCGCTCTGGCCAGCAGGGGGCGCAGCCGAGCGGGCGGGAGCGACAGGGCCCCGAGCGTCGCGTCCGCACCTCTGGCCCTGGAGCGCTCGCGGAGGCACTGAGTCAACAAACCAACGAGAAACGAAGGCCTCCCGTTTTCCTAGAGGGAACAAGTGGGCGTTGGGGGGCACCGAGGTAGTTGGCGAAAAGGGCCGACCCGGAAACGAAACTGGGGTAACTTCCGTTCTTTGTTCTGTCCCCGGTGTGTGGGTCCGTGACAGGGTCCAGCGGGGCCTGGTCTGTGTCCGGCCCCCCAAATCTCCCGTCCCTGCCCCCAGGGTGAGTCCGGGCGTCCCGGGGCTCGCGGCGAGGCGGCGGCTGCGGGCGCCGGCTGAGGGGGTGGTGTCCGCGCCGCTACGGCCCGCGGGGTCCCCCGGCCCGTGCGGGGCTGGGTGCGGGGAGACGCCGCACCCCCGGGGACACCCCCGCCCCTCCCGCGCAGAGCGGGACCCCCGCGGGAGGGGAGGAGTGGGGGGCACTGGTTCCGGTTTTGGGACCCAGCGCCCAGCTGGAGCATTTAAAAGTTGCGGTGGAGCCGTAGAGGCGGAAACAGTTGGTGACAGCGACTCCAACCGGGCCCCCCTTCTCTCGGGGGGCTTTTATTTGGTGTTAACGCATGTATTTAATCGCGCCCGCGGGAGTAGGGAAGTTTACTTTTACACTGGAGCCCAAGGATCAGACCGTGAGCTGCGCGAAGCGTTTGCAGTTGGAGCCAGGGCTGGGGGCGGGTGCAAACCCGGATTCCGGGAGTGACCCCGGTGGAGCCCTGCACAGCGTCTTTTTTTTTTTTTTTTTTTTTTTTTTTTTTTGAGGCGGGGAGTGATACTCCTGCCTGGGGCTCCCGTTTTCAGTTGTATTGGTCCCGAGTTTGATGCGCTTTCAAAGTGGGAGCGAACGGCACACTAGTGTTCAGGCCCTGGAGGGAATGGGCATCATTTGAGTCCCGGTGTTGGATGGCCGGTCTTGTTGGAGACGATTCTGTCGCTGAGGCTGCACAGGGCGCTAGGTGTGCGAGGGGACAGAGCTGAGCGCGGCTGGGATGGAGCTGGCCACGTTGGGAACTTGAGCAGGCGTTGCTTCCCCCACCCCCAGGTGGAGAATTTGCATTTGAATTTGAATCTGCAGCGCCCTTATGGCTCTCCAGGGGTGCAACCCAAATGCCAGTTGTGGTGACCCCAATCAGTGTCCAGTAACCTGTGTCCTCTCCCTTTGCTTATCTCTACATATCTGAATGTCACACGAATGTCACACGAGGTTCACCTGAATATTTTAAATTCCTTCTGTTTCTTAGCCACATAGCACTGACATCAACTAAAGTCGGAATTCCCAGGAACTTGCCACATTCCCAGTGATTGGTCATTTTGGCCTTCCGGGGACCAACTCCACAGAAGGAAGGAAAGAACCCAGCAGGTAAGGCAGTGCGTGGCTCGTTTTCACTGCCAGGTCGTCTTTCTGGGTGCCCAGGAAGGGCTCCCGGGCGTGGGGTTGGCAGCCGGCAGCCGGCAGAGGAAGGGCCCTGGCTGGACTCAGCTGTGGGAGCACAATGGAGTGTTCTTCCCGTGGGTAACATTGTTTACCGCTGCAGACACTGGCGGTTTGTTCTCAACAGTGTGCCTTTCAGTTCCAGCTCTCTGCTTAACACAGCTGTGAGGAGGGAACGTGGCCTTTTCCTCTGGAATCCAAGCCTTGGCCTTGCCTTTCTCAGGAGAGCGACCAGTGAGGGTGTCTGCCCTGAGTCCTGGAAGCTGTCAGGGTGGTTTGTGGGAGAAGAGGTGGCTGTCTTCCACACAGAGCTGGAGGGGCGTGGGTGCAGGAGTGTGCCACCTCCGTTGCCTGTGGGCCTGGCTGTGCCCTGATGCAGTGCCTCCCACTGTGTAACAGCATCTCACAGCCCCTGCCCACCCCAAAGCTGGGCTTCTTAGGACTCTCAGGGACCCTCAGGCGGCCCCTCCCCCTTCTGAGTAACAGTCTGTAGGCATGAAGCAAACACTTCGCTGCATTCCTGATTTTTTTTTTTTTTTTTTTTTTTTTTTAACTCACTGCAGTAGTGCTTTGCTATTTAGCTGGCACTCAGCCAATGTTTGTTTTCTGAGCAAATGAGTAGATAGAGGCAGTCAGCTGAAATCCAGAGTGGCTTTTTCCTGTGCTCTTGCGTAAACGTGTAAGGACACTGGTGGCTGCCGCACCTGTTCTCCATGTGTTGACGTTGCCCCTGGAATCAGGTTGGAGGTTTCTGGCACTGCAGACTTTAGTGAAAGGGTAGACATGACGTTTTACCCACCAGAGCCGTGGAGAACAGACCTCTTGGTTGTGATAGCAACTGTGGAGTGGAGATGTCAGTAGGGACAAAAGCAGAGGAAGGAAGAATCTTTTGTTTTTGTTTTTAAATCAGTCTCTGCCTCAGGAGCTTCTGATGGAAATGTCCAGTTGAGAAAAGGGAGATGAAAGGACGGGCATGGCCTTCCCAGTGGGAGGAAACACAGCAGCTGGAAGTGTTTTATTTTACTGTGGAGGACGGATGCATCTACTTTTTGTTGTAAATACCACTCAGAGTGTGTGGGAGGAGCCGAAGGTGGGATGTGGAGGAGAAACTTGGTCCCTTTCTGTGGTTCTCACGGTAGCTTGGTTATGGGGGTGGGTGTGCACAGTGACCCATATCTGAAAGATTAACGTTCGTTGCTGTGTTTCCTTTCCCTGTTACTGGTGCTAACTGAAATGCCAGCTCCCCTGTTTTTGCTCAGGGGGTGGTTGAAATGTTCTTTGAACTTTGAACTTTTGCTTCTGCAGTGCTTCCTCATTCTCATTGAAAACCTGCTTCCTGCTGAGTCTGCAGAGAGGAGGCCGAGCCCTACCCATGGAAACTCAGGCTGATCGTGTGTCTCAGGAACCACAGGCCCTGCTTGAGAGTGGTGAGGTTTTACTCCTTCATTCCGCAATCCCATGCTGAAACCTGCCCACCAGGTGCGAGACCAGCTGCTAGAATCCAGATGGAGACACACATACTCCTTGCCATTCGTGACGTACAGCCTCGTGGGAGGAGGCTGTTGGAAGCCCACAACTATTGTGCTACTGGATAGGTTTCGTTACTGAGACATTTTGAAGGGTTGTGGGTCCCTCTTGCAGGGTTAAGAAAACCTACAATCCCTGAATTCCGTTTCTCCCGTTCTCTGAAGTAGCCAACATCATAGTCTTGGTTTATGCTCTTCAGGAGCACGCACTTGGGGGAGGTCTTAGGAATCATTTTGTAGGTTGTGGCCAAAAAGATAAGTGGGTCAGAGGCCAGTAAAAATATATTTTGTTTTCATAGACTGTGCCACCGACCAGGGGACAAGTTTCAGTTTCAGTGGGTATTGTTTTCATGGTTATCATTTAAAGACTTTTTGTCTGGGTGATTGAAACAAGTCTAGTATGTCTAAGGGTTTAGGGTCTCTAAAAGCCAAATGTGTAAACCCAGGAATTACAGAAAAAGTCACCTTGATCAAGTACACAGCCTGAGAACCTCACGTAAGTGTGTGAGAAGGGCGATGAAAGGAAGGGACGTGAGCAGGAGAGCCTGGCCGAGCTCCCGAGGACGGACAAGAATCGACCATCGCTCTAGGGACTCTGGGCAGTTTCACTGGGACAAGAATGACTGTAGAGAAAGCTGGGGCCTGGGGCAGAAGGGAGACCAAGAATTAACAGGGCTTTGGCCAACCCCTTCTGGCAGACGGAGCCCTGCTGAATGTGCCTCTGTTGTGAGTGGCTGCAGAGAAGTGAAGGGTTGTCCCAGGACCCTGTGAGTTTCCTGGGGCATGGGCAGTCAGCAGGGTGAGAGCCAGAGAGAGACTCACTCTGGGGCCCTTTTATCGCCTGTCAGCGCTTCCTTCTTCAAAAGTTCCTGCGTTTTCCGACAAGGACAGCCTTGGGGACGAGATGCTGGCAGCTGCACTCCTAAAGGCCAAGTCCCAGGTGAGCTGTGCGCCCCTCCTTTGAACTTTCTGTGTTGTAAACCATTTTTGTGCAACAACAACATCCCATCTGGTGCCCTAGACCTGGATTCTGGCCACCAAGACTCTGCTCCTTTCCTGCTGAATAATGGGCCTTTACCTCTGCCTTTAACTTGGAAAAAAAATTCATTTTATTTGAAAGGCAGAGAGACCCAGGGAAGACTTCTGTCTTCTGGTTCACTTGTCAGATTCTCACAGCTGCTGGGACTGGGCTGGGCCAAAACCAGGAGCTCAGAACTTGGCCCAGATCTCTAACCTGGGTGGAACAGATCCCTAGCCTGGATGGAACAGATCCCTAAGCTGGGTGGAGCAGATCTCTAAGCTGGGTGGAGCAGATCCCTAACCTGGATGGAACAGATCTCTAAGCTGGGTGGAGCAGATCCCTAACCTGGATGGAAGGGACCTGAGTGCTTGAGCGTCACCTGCTGCCTCTCAGAGTGTGCGTTAGCAGGATGCTAGATCAGAAGCAGAGGCAGGACTTGAATCCAGGCACTCTAGGATGGGATGTGGGCGTTTTCAGTGAAGTCTCAGCTGCTGCACCAAACATCCGCCCCTGGTCTGGACTCTGCCTCTGTCTTCCTGTGTTCTGATCTCTTTCCCCCTACCCAAAGAGGTCATATTCAGCCGCATCCTGAGGGGTTTTTGGTGCCAACAGTGCCATCTGTCATCCTGGAATTGCATGCGTGACCGTGTCGTTTCAGGAGTTGGTGACGTTTGAGGATGTGGCTGTGTACTTCATCCGGAAGGAGTGGAAGCGTTTGGAACCTGCGCAGAGGAACCTCTACAGGGATGTGATGTTGGAGAACTATGGGAATGTGTTCTCACTGGGTAAGGGCCTGCACTTCCAACAAAACTCCCTGGTGTTAGTTGCTAACAGTCTAGTCACTGAAAACAATTAGTTAAGGACTGATTTAGTCTTAGAAAATTCTAATAGCAATGATCTTGTATGTATGCAGTGATTGGCAGTTTATGGAGTTTTCGTGTGTGTTCTCTCATTTCCTCTCAAAGTAACATAGTAATCGAGGTAGTTAGTATGCTGGTGCTTCAGAAAGTTTGTGAAAAAGTGGAATTCAAAGTTTCAGTGTAAAATGTTTTTTGAGATCCATATGCAGTTTTTTCATAACATGCATTTTTCATAAACTTTTGAAGTATTTCATATTATTTTCATTTTATAAGTGAGGAAAGTGAGGTCAGAGAGCGCAAAGGCCTTGTGCATGGTCACAGAGCTGGTAGGTGGCAGATCTAGTAGTCTTCCCTGTTATCTTCAGAACGCGGTGTGGAACCCAGAGATTTTCCCAGACGATTAGTGTATTTGGATCCCTGAACATGTGTGGTGCTGCTCTGTGCCCGAGTGAACATTCTGGGACTCTGTCTCCTGCCCCTCTCTGTTGGGTTCCCTCTAGGCTTAAATTGTTTTTTGTTTTGTTTTGTTTTATTTATTTATTTATTTATTTTTTATTTTTTTTTTGACAGGCAGAGTCGACAGTGAGAGAGAGAGACAGAGAGAAAGGTCTTCCTTTTTGCCGTTGGTTCACCCTCCAATGGCCGCCGCGGCCAGCGTGCTGCGGCCAGTGCACTGCGGCCAGCGCACCGCACTGATCCGATGGCAAGAGCCAGGTGCTTCTCCTGGTCTCCCATGGGGTGCAGGGCCCAAGTACTTGGGCCATCCTCCACTGTACTCCCTGGCCACAGCAGAGAGCTGGCCTGGAAGAGGGGCAACCGGGACTAGAACCCGGTGTGCCGGCGCCGCAGGTGGAGGATTAGCCTAGTGAGCCAGGCGCCGGCCTATTTATTTATTTTAAAGTCGGAGTTATACAGAGAGAGGAGAGGCGGCAGGGGTGTGTGTGTGGGGGTCTTCCATCCGCTGGTTCATTCCCCAATTGACTGCAATGGCCGGAGCTGTGCCGATCTGAAGCCAGGAGCCAGGAGCTTCTTCCAGGTCTCCCATGTGGGTGCAGGGACCCAAGGACCTGGACCATCCTCCACTGCTTTCCCAGGCCATAGCAGAGAGCTGGATCGGAAGTGCAGCAGCCGGGTCTCAAACCGGTGCCCATATGGGATGCCGGCGCTTCAGGCCAGGGCATTAACCCACTGTGCCACACAGCGCAGGCCCCGGTTTCCTTTAGGGACCTGTTGTGTTGTTCAGAACCTTGTGCACCTGTCTTGCAGAAATGTACACCAGTTTTGAGGAGAAATGAGCTTTTTTTTAAAAGATTTATTTAATTTGTAAGTCAGAGTTACACAGAGAGAGAAGGAGAGAGAGAGAGAAAGAGAGAGAGGGAGAGAGAGGTCTTCCATCAGCTGGTTCACTCCCCAATTGGCCGCAACGGCTGGAGCTGCACTGATCTGAAGCCAGGAGCCAGGAGCTACCTCCGGGTCTCCCATGCGGGTTCAGGGCCCATGGACTTGGGCTGTCTTCTACTGCTTTCCCAGGCCACAGCAGAGAGCTGGATCAGAAGTAGAGCAGCCGGTACTCAAACCGGCATCCATGTGGGATGCTGGCACTGCAGATCAGGGCTTTAACCCGCTGCGCCACAGAGTCATCCCTGAGAAATGAGGTTTTTAACCAGGACTTTTAGCTCCTTGTCTCTCACCTCACTTCTAGGGAGAACGTTCTGAGCAGGGAGTCTGCCTAACTCCCCACTTGAGCCTTGTCTGCACACCCTTCCCTTCTCGGCCTCCTGCAGCTCTGGGTCTGGGATTGAGCTCTGGGACTGCTCAGTGTGGGCAGGGTCAGCCTTGTCGCGTGTCCATCCCCTGAATCCTGACACAGTCCCTTGGCTGGAGGGGGAAGAACTGCCGGGGGTCCTGAGTTTGGGGGAGCTAAGAACAGACAGGTTCTGAGAGGTACCTGCTCAGGTGAGAGGAATACAGCTGTGTCTGTTCCTAACACTCATTGCCTGTCTTTGTAAAAACAGCAAAAAAAAACTAAAAATGGCATCTGGGCCCTTTACGCTTACTCTCTTTGCCTGAAGTTCCCTTGAGAAACACCAGAGTAGTACAGATAGAGGAGTCAGACACTGAAGTCGTCAACTCAGCCTCCCATGGGAGTGTTGCCTTCCAGGCTTAGGACCCACGGTAGACGTAGCTGTCTGGCCTGTTTGCAGAGGTGTGGTGCGCAGCCGGGTGACTGCAGACAGCACTGTTCTGTTCGCTTGGTTCCGTGGGGGTCCCTTCCCTCTGCTCCTTTGTGCTCTGCAGCCGTTTCTCAGCCTGCCTCATCTCTGTCCTCAGCCGTGTGAGTCCCGTTTCCCCTGTCGCTCCTGACTGTTCCTGTACACATCTCCCCGGTTGGAGCCACAGCCTCCGGCCTCTCGGAAGACTTTGCTACTTCATTACGCTGACGTCCTTCCGCCTCCGATCTTGGTGTCCTTGCTGCCTGATCCATCCTCCTCTCGAAGTCCTCGGCTTCCTTTGCACTTCCGGCTGTGTTCTCCATGACATTGCTTTCTGCCCTGCTCCCCGCCTGTGTCCAGTTACCTTATTTTGCCTCAGTTACACACATGTGGTTAGGCCCCTTTGCGGCTGTGTAGAAGCATGCGCTTTTAGCACTGTAAATATGCCATGTGATTATTCTGCGTTCTTATTTTTGTCTTCCTCTCACAAGGAATAAGTGACATTTGCCTTTCTTATTGTGCCAGATGGTGAGACGAGAACTGAGGATGATCAAGACATTTCTCAAGATAGAGGATCCCATGGGGTGCTGTTGGGAAGATTCCAGAAGGACATTTCTCAGGGTCTTAAGTTTGAAGAAGCCTATGAGCAAGAAGTCAGTCTAAAGAAGCAGCTCGGACACTCCTCTGGTGAAAGACTGAGTAGAAAAATGCAAGATTTTGGTCAAGTGACAGTTGAGGAGAAGTTCACCCCCATGGAAGCGAGAACTGAGAAGTATAACCAGTTTGGCAACAGCTTCACTGTGAGTTCCAACCTTGTTTCACATCAGAGACTTCCTGTGGGAGACAGACCTCATAAGTGTGATGAATGCAGCAAGAGCTTTAATCGAACTTCAGACCTCATTCAGCATCAGCGAATCCACACTGGGGAGAAGCCCTATGAATGTAGTGAGTGTGGGAAGGCCTTCAGCCAGAGCTCCCATCTTATTCAGCATCAGAGGATCCACACTGGGGAGAAGCCCTACGAATGCAGCGACTGTGGGAAGACCTTCAGTTGTAGCTCTGCCCTCATTCTGCATCGGCGGATCCACACTGGGGAGAAGCCTTACGAATGTAACGAGTGTGGGAAGACCTTCAGCTGGAGCTCCACCCTCACTCACCACCAGAGAATCCACACTGGCGAGAAGCCCTATGCTTGCAATGAATGTGGCAAGGCTTTCAGTCGGAGCTCCACCCTCATTCATCATCAGCGAATCCACACTGGAGAGAAGCCCTACGAATGCAATGAGTGTGGGAAGGCCTTCAGCCAGAGCTCTCACCTCTATCAGCACCAGAGAATCCACACTGGAGAGAAACCCTACGAATGTATGGAATGTGGAGGGAAGTTTACTTACAGTTCAGGCCTTATTCAGCATCAAAGAATCCACACCGGGGAGAATCCCTATGAATGTAGTGAGTGTGGGAAAGCCTTCAGGTATAGCTCAGCTCTTGTTCGCCATCAGAGAATTCACACTGGAGAGAAGCCTTTGAATGTAATGGGCATGAGCAAGAGTTCTCTCAGAGCTACTGCTGAACTAAACGTCCGAGAGTCGACGTGAATGAACCACACACCTGTTTTCCTCTTCCTCTGAGTCCCAGGAGCTCTTGCCTTACTATGTGAGTGTCAGCAACTTAGGATGCGCCCCTGCTAGCTCCAGCCTTTCACTTCAGAGAATGGGGCAGCCTGGGAAATCATCCTGGCGTGGTGATCAGCGACCTGGCCTGTTTCCCCAGGGATGATAGCAGCCTTGAAAAATTAGGAGGCAAGCAGCAGATTAGGTGCTGGGAACAGAAGGAAGCTCTGGGGCCAGTAACCCCATGTTAAGGGAGTTTGCACTAAACTGTTTTGTCACACCAGAGGAGCCTTTCTTTCTAAGGTGGGGTTGGAAGCACAATGGGAGCAAAACTCCAAGGATTCTACCAGGCGGAGTCAAAGCACAGAGGGCAGTGGAAACGGTGCTCTGGGTCCCCTGTTCCCTAGGAAGGGGAAATGCAGGCAGTATGTCGAAACTACTGTTTCTGTTCCTAAACCAGCTTTAATTAGAAATGTGCTGTTTGGTTTAGTTAAGTATGGAGGTCTAGGGCTGAGGGATTGGCTATTTTATTAAAGATTTTTTTATGTCTGTAACTGGGAAAGCTCTTGGAGCAGCAAGACCGTGTTTTGAAGAGCAACCTGGGGGCGATATTGAATGTAGATCCGTCATCCTTCCTGTTGATGGAACTGACCAGGGATTGATGTGATCGTTGAGAAACCTGAGAGGGTCAGAAGCATTTATGTTGGCCTCTGATTTCTGTCCTCCTCTCTCCCTCTTCCTGCTCCTGTGAAGAAAAGTGATTTAATCCCAACCCTTAGTTACTAAGGATGCTTTCAGGAAGCTCGCTCAGCCAGCTTGCCCTGCCCTCTGCCACCTCGGGCATCCCCTGCCCCAGCAGCCCATGGCTTTTGACTCCACCACCTCCTACTTCAGCAGCTGAGGATGAATGCAAACAGAGCAAAGCCCAGAGGAGGAAGGCTGTGGCCTGTGCCTGGCAGCAGGCTCCTTGCTGGGTGAAGGTGGGACTCCCTGAGTTTTCCCAGCCAAGGGATGACCCTCCTTTGTGTTTTCCCAACCCTGCTCATCCTGTAGCATAAATGAAGTGCACTATTAAACAGAATAGTTTTTCAGAAGAGATTGAGTGTGTTTTTGTGCAGGCACTAAATCCGTTGAAACAGGAGAGACAGTGACTATAAATGGAATCTGGAAATTAATTATTAAATTTTCTTTGTAGACAACAGCTTTTTTATGAGCCACAAAACAGGGTTTCCCTTTTCCTTTTAGGCTCCATCATCATACTCTTTGAGATAATAACACCAATTCTCAAAACCTCCAACAATTACTCCTACCTTCACGTGCATATTTAGGAACATACAGGCTGCCGATCATTCTGTATGGTACAGTACTTCAGGTGAACAACTCAACTAAAAGTGTTGCTGGGTATACAATCCCTGGTAAGACAGTACTTGGTTGTTGGATAGCAACGGGCAAATTGAGATTCTTGGTTTGGCTATTTGTAGGAGGGTGTTGCAGCCATGAAGAAGGTGAGGTTGAAAATTTAATGGGAAGTTGAGAAATGCCTGAAGCCCTATCCTTTGTGCAAAACTTTGGGTCACATGTGATTGGCCATCTAACATGCTTTTAATTTCTGAGCATTTTAGCTCTTTTAACACCGTCACATGCAGACTGACTTTGTTTCCCAACGAGTGGACTGCTGCTTGTTAGGAATGCAGGTTTCTGACCCCAAATATGTAACACTTCTTGAGGATTGAGGAAAAAGTCATACTGAGAAGGAAGAAATAGTAATGGGATAGTGAGAGAAGATCTCACCATCCCATAGGAGATATACTTGATCTAGATTTTTTTTTTAAAGACATTAATTTGAAGGGCGGAGTTAGAGAGATTCCATCTCCTGGCTCACCTCCCAGAGGACTGCAATGACAGGAGGTTTGGGATAAGCCTGAGTGTGGCCACTTATGTGGAGTTCATGTGGAGTCTGGAAAAAGGCTAAATGCATAGGACTGCTCTGGGATGACTGGCCACTATGTAGGATGCACTGGCTTCTGTTCTCAAGTGCGGGGAGCACTCTGGCAAAATGAACCCACCCCCAAAGGATCTCATCCCGTATTCCTTCAGAGGTTCTCAGTGAGGCCTAAGACTGATCAGGGCCATCATGTGAAAAAAAATTTTTTTTAATTACTTTGAAAATACATCTAAACATTTTACGCAGTTCCCCTACTGGTATTTTCGTTTCTCACGATTCGTCTTGATCCATTAGTGGTCACTCAGTATTCACTCATGGTATCAGTCTCTCCTCTTTCTATGCCATTACATTTGGAGGAGGTGAGAGTTCCAAGTGTTGATAGTAGCCGACACGTGGCCTACTCTGGGCCAGTCTTGCCTGACTTTTCCAAGTGTGTCATTTGTATGAAATCATGTAGTCCTCACAACCACCTATGAGGCAGGCATTTGTTTTATCCCCGCCTTGCAGATGAAACAGAATTGAACTTGCCCAGTTAAACTTGTGACAGTGAAATAAAAAGACCTCCTCTGGGTTGCTGCACTTGGGGGCCTGGGCCACCTGACCTAGATGGCTTGGGTGTGAGGTCCAGGAATATGTAAAGAGTAAGTCTTGTCCAGGCAATTGTCTTTTTAGGGTTCTACAATCCCTCTCCTAGTTCTTTTCATTTTCATTGCTGCTAACCTTGGAGATAGATCATCATTATTTCTTCCTTAGATTTTTTCTAATGAGTTAATATTTATTTTCATGTGAGTTAATCTCCCCAAACCACCATGCCAATCTTGTCACTCACTGAAAAGTTGCAGTAGTGTCTCCCTTAACAGAATAAAATTCTGACTCAATCACATTCTAGGCTCTCTCTGAGCTGCTCTCTACATATCTGTAAAGCTATGTCTCTTTTTTTTTTAATGAGCAACTCCTTTTTTTAAAAAAAATATTTTATTTATTTGAAAGAGAGTTACAGGAGAGAAGTAGAGACAGAGAGGTCTTTCATCCCTGGTTCACTCCCCAAATGGCCACAACTGCTGGAGCTGGGCTGATCCGAAGCCAGGCTTCCTCCAAGTCTCCCACATAGGTGCAGGGGCCCAAGGAGTTGGCCCGTCCTAGGCTGCTTTCCCAGGCATATTAGCAGGGAGCTGGATGGGAAATGGAGCAGCCAGGACGAACTGGTACCCATGTGGGATGCTGGCACTGCAGGCCGGGGCTTTAACCTGCTACGTCACGGCGCCAGCCCCGAGCCATGTCTTATTGCTTCTCTTCACACATCAAATAACAGAAATGGGGCTTCCAAACAGCCCCATTGTTCATGGCCATCAGTTTATTCTCACAGTACTCTGTCCATCTCTCCACGTCCAATCAATAAAAATCAAAATAGTCCTTAGAAACTCTGGTTTAACCTCCTTCTCAGTGTAGAAACTTGACTATCCCGACAGGCTGCTGTCTGGTCTGTTATGTCTTCATGGATGGGATAGAACAGTTGCACAAGGGCAGAGGCAGTTTCACTGCTGAACATCCTAATTGCTGGAAACGACCTTGAGCTGAATTCTGTCTCGTAAATTCCATGGTTAGCTTCTGTTTTTGCCTGTTCAAGCCACACAGTGTAGTTACCTGTACACTAAGTGATGGATGAGATTTCCAAGGACATTTTCAGGTATAATAAAGGAATTTTTTTTGACAGGCGGAGTTAGACAGAAACAGAGAGAAAGGTCTTCCTTCCGTTGGTTCACCCCCCAAATGGCCGCTATGGCCGGCGCGCTGCGCTGATCCGAAGCCAGGAGCCAGGCGGCTCCCCTGGTCTCCCATGCGGATGCAGGGCCCAAGCACCTGGGCCATCCTCCACTGCCTTCCCGGGCCACAGCAGAGAGCTGGACTGGAAGAGGAGCAACTGGGACAGAACCAGTGCCCCAACCGGGACTAGAACCCGGTGTGCCGGTGCTTAAGGTGGAGGATTAGCCTAGTGAGCCGTGGCGCCGGCCAGGAATTTCATTCTTAATGTCTCCTCCCATCCCAAATCATGCCTGTTCTTTCTAAAAAAGATTTACTGGGGCCGGCGCTGAGGCACAGTGAGTGAAGCCACTGCCTGTAGTGCCGGCATCCCATATGGGCACCGGTTCATGTCCTGGCTGCTCTACTTCTGATCCAGCTCTCTGCTATGGCCTGGGAAAGCAGTAGAGGATGGCTCTCATGTGGAAGACCCAGAAGAAGCTCCTGGCTCCTGGCTTTGAATCGGCACAGCTGTGGCCCTTGCGGCCAGTTGGGGAGTGAACCAGCTGATGGAAGACCCATTCTCTCTCTCTTTCTCTCTGCCTCTGCCTTCTCTCTCTGTGTAACTCTTTCAAATAAATAAAATCTTTTTCTAAAATGCTTTAAACATTTATTTTCTTGAAAGAGTAACAGAAAGGCAGAGAGAGAGGTCTTCCATCTGCTGGTTCACTCCCCAAATGGCCAGAACAGCCAAAGCTGGGCCAATCCAAAGCCAGGAGCCAGGTGCTTCTTCTGGGTCTCCCATGTCTGTGCAGGGGCCCAAGCACTTGAGCCATCATCTGCTGCCTTCCTAGGCCATAGCAGAGAGCTGGATCGGAAGTGGAGCAGCCAGGACATGAACGGGCACTCATATGGGATGCCGGCACTGCAGGCAGTGGCTTCACTCACTGCGCCACAGCGCCGGCCCCTGTGCCTGTGTTTTGACAATCAAATAATTCTGAGGAAGAATAGGTGATGTTTCTAAGGGAAAAGCCGTTTCTATCTGAACATTTCAGGTAACAAAAGTATGAAACGTGGAGTAGTATAGATGAACATCTTAATTGTTTCCACTTAGTGAAGATATTTGTTGTTATTTTATAATTTGGGGGGTGGGGAAGAGGAGTGAGTTACTCTTCTCTGGTTCACTCAAATGTGGGCTCTGGCTGGGGCCAGAATCGGGAGCTGGGAGCCCAGTCACATCTCCCACGTGGGACACGAACTCCACTTGAGCCTTCACTGCTGCCTCCCAGCCTCTGCGTTCCTGGGAAGCAGCAGTCGGGAGCTGGAGCCAGCTCCTGTGATGTGGGACATGGACGGTCCAGTTAGTACCATAACTGCTAGGCCACAAGCTTGCCCCAGCAGAGACTTTTTTAAAAGCTCCCCAAAGATGATTTGTTTTCTTCATAAGTTGTTTATGGTGTTTGAGTTTTTTCAACTTCAAAACCAAGGAAGCCCAGTTAAATGTGTTATTTTCTTTGAACGTTTAACAGTTTATTTTTTTTTCATAAATACAACTCTAGGAATATAGTCATTCTTCCCACTGTCCCCGCCCTCCTACCCCCACTCCCACTCCTTTTCTTCCCCCCTCTCCTATTCCCATTCTTTTTACTAAGATCTGTTTTCAGGTGACTTTATACATATACAATTAACTCTGTACTAAGTAAATAAATAGTTTCACAAATTGTATGGAAAAAAAAAAGAAAAAAAACTTTTCTTCAACAGCTGGGACAAGCGCTGTTCCAAGTCATTGCTAGATGCATTACTTTAAATAGTAACAAAGAACTGAAGATTTTGAGAGAAGTAAAAAATTACAGATAGGGGCCGGCATTGTGGCATAGCGGGTTAAGCCTGCTGCTTGCAATGCTGACACCCCATATGAGTGCTGGTTCGAGTCCCGGCTGCTCCACTTCCAATCCAGCTCCCTGCTAATGCACCTGGGAAAGCAGCAGCAGATAGGCTCCTGCATCCATGTGGGAGACTGGTAAGAAGCTCCTGGTCACATTTGGCTGGGGCAGGGGTGTGTGTGTGTGGGGGGGGGAGTTCAGGGAGGGTATGTTGGGGGAGGGGAGAGTTCCCAGAGAAATCGAGGTCGGAGTCCTCAGTTAAGGTCACATCATGAAGGTGAACAAGGCAAAGCCCCAGACCTGGTCTCTAGCCTTTTGGCATTAGGAAGTCAAAGGAAGTTATGGACAAGAAAGTTCATTAAACAAAAACCCACAAAAAAAAAAGACCTAATTTTAGTTGAATTCCAAGATATAATGTGCTTGAAAACAAAGCCATCGGGAGCTGAGGCCATGGGAAGACAATGAGGGAGGTCAGAGCCCCCTTCCATAGTAGGAGAAATGCATGGGAGGTGGTCTGACCACTACACA